AGAAGTTTAAATATAAACACAGCAATGTTCCTAACTACATCAAAATAGTTTTATATTCTTTTTTGATATGTACATTATGCATATATTTCTATAAATGTTCAAAATTTTTTTTTATTACGTAATTAGTAGAATTTATATATCAAAATACTTTAAATATCTGTATACGTCCAAAAAACTATTTTGCATGTTTTTAATTATAGGAATACGGAATGTTTAATTAAAAATCACAGACATAATTCTATAATGTTTATTCGTCGTGACATTTAAGTTCTTGTTCACATTTGTAATGTAACTGACGGAATTAATAATTGAATTTTTCCTGTGTAATGTAACAGGTACAATGTCCAAGAATACATTATATACTGATGAATATTTAAAATTTGTAAATATTTATACTGAAGCAGTTAATATTAAAAGTAAAAAAAGATATTTATAAAAATTATGGTAAATTGGCGATAATGAAAATTTATATAATCAACGGAAATTGATAATATTAACATCTTCCGTCCGCGTGGCAAATCAGACCAACATTTATATACCGATATTGGAGAAGATATGCATTTTACCATATGCGATTCAGCGCTATTAAAGTCGTGAATGCCGTTATTTGCACCGGTACGAAACAGTTACGTAAAAGTAGGTTTTCTTTTTTCTCAGTACTCTCTGCATTGAAATGAAGAGGCTTTACCAGAGTTGTTAGTGTCGGTAGTATCCTATAAAGTAAGGTTTAAACTAGAGTATACGTATTGTATTATTGATAGTCAACGAATTAAATAATGGGATATTTAAAGTCTACTGGTACAGCGTTCATATATATCGGTCTTTTCGCTGCTATTATTACATTCTTACCAGGCCTACCTCCAGATGTTGAATTTTCTGAATACAGGTATGATATTTATTTTATTTTTTTTTAATATAAGGAATAAATGTATAAAACAACCATATACGTATTTACAATAATTGTTTTAGTATAAAATTTCCTTCTGAAACAAAGCATCAGTTTGAGTTAAAAGATCGACTAAAAGGAGCCGAAATATTATTTAATGGTAAACTAAAAGGACCGGAATGTTTTGCTTCTTATAATGGAGAATTGTATACTGGCATACGTGGAGGTTATGTTGTAAAAATTGACCAGAACGGCATTGTACCAGTTGTAAAATTTGGACAAAAATGTGGTATGTAAAAATAGTGGTTTGAGAATTCTTTAAACTTTCTTCTCTTTTGTACTTATCCATAGAAATGAATTTAAAATTGTTAAATGGCTAATATATTTACAGATGGTTTGTGGCAGGAGGAAAAATGTGGCAGACCTTTAGGTTTAAAGTTCAATGACAAAGGAGAATTGTTTGTTGCCGATGCATACTATGGCATTTTCAAAGTTAATGTAAACACTCAACAGTACGTAAATATTGTTAATATTTCTTTGGAAGGAAAAGTTCCAAATTCCTTGGATATTGCTAAAAATGGAGATATTTATTGGAGTGATGCAGATGCAAACTTTCCACTTCATGATGGATCTTATTCGTTTTTATCTAATCCAACAGGAAGGTAAGAATTTCAGAATCAAGGATTTTTTAAAAAATGTATACAACCTTTTGATATTACTTTTTTTATAGACTTCTTCGATATAATGCTGCAACGAAAAAGAATGAAGTATTATTAAAAAATTTAGGATTTGCAAATGGAGTTTCATTAGCTGTTGATGAAAGTTTTGTAATTGTGGCAGAAACTCTTACTTCACGTATTATCAAATATCATTTGAAGGGTCCCAAAACTGGACAGCATGAAATTTTTGCAGAAGCCTTACCTGGTTATCCAGATAATATACATACAGATGGACAAGGAGGTTTTATAGTGTCCTTAATTCTGTATGTCGATTCTGAACATCCTTCGTTAGTTCAATCTCTTATGCCACATCCATATATACGAAAAATGTTAGCTAGATTTGTGTATCTAATAGAAGCTCCATTTAAATTAATACAAGATGTGTATCCAAATTATTATGTGGAAAGAGTTTTGTACTCTGTAGGTTCTTTCGATGCTTTTAAACTTATTTTAGACACAAAGAAAACATCTGTAATACTTAGATTGGATAAAACAGGAACTATCGTGGATGCTTTATATTCAAGTGATAGCTCAGTTCACGACACATCGTCTTCTTACATTCACGATGGATTTTTATGGCTTGGTTCTCCTTGGAATGATTACATAATGAGAATTCCTTTAAAACAAGCATTTCCAAATTTAAATGAAAATAAGAAATCAGCAAATGTAAACCAACATATAAAACAAGAACCACTTTTGACAGTAACAGGTACACCAGAAATAAAAGTAAATGTAAAACCTTCAAAAGCTAAATCTAGTGCTCAAGAAACTACTACAAAACCTACGACTACAACAACAAAACCTACAACTACAACACCAAAACCTACGACTGTAACACCAAAACCTACGACTGCAGCACCAAAACCTGCAACTACAACAGCAAAACCTACGACTACAACACCAAAACCTACGACTACAACATCAAAACCTACAACTACAACACCAAAATCAACGTCTAAAGCACCAGTAACTCAAGCGTCATCAAAACCAGTCACACAGAAGACAACAGAACAACATTCTGCTACTACACCAAAGCCATCTTCAACACAACCTCCTTCAAAAGCACCAGTAAAAGAAGTCAAAAAAGAAAATTTGAAAGAAGTGAAGAAAGAAACTTCTACTGCAAATGTTAATGCAAAGATAACAACTGAAAAAACTGAGTCCACAAAGAAAAGTAATGAAGCAACAGTAAAATCAAAATCTGAAGATTCTGTAAAAAAAAATACTCGTGAAACTCAGTCAGAAAAATCCAAACCAGTTGATAAGAATAGTTCAACCAAAAAATAAATCATATTGATATGTTGACTGTCAGTTCAAGTTTGAATTAAAACTTGATTCTATTATATTCCATGTTAAAGGTTCTATGCATTCCAGACATATCGTCATAGTTGTTTTAATTTTATATTTTTTTTATCATTCCTACAATATTTTGCTATTTTAGAATTATTATTTGCTTTCATTTAGATTATTCTAACACAGTTTCAGAAAATATTATGAGATTCTTTTATTCTGTTGTACTTATCATACATATAGTAAAAAAGCCAGGAAATGCATTAGAGACTGTGATTTAGATTTGTACATAAAGTTGAAAATAATGTTGTTTTTCCAAACTTTTTCATATCACGATACATCTCAATACACTAGTATCGTGTTTAGTATATATTTAATATATATACTAAATAATATATACATATATATATATAGAAATACGTATTTTGTAAATTCTAATTTTATTTAGTTGTAGAACAAAGATGAGGTCCAAGTAGAACACAGGAAAGAATATTTTTGTTATAGCTATTTTTGTTATTTTAATATCAAGTGATCAACATTCCAAGGAAATGATATTGTATAATAGAACAAAATTAAATATTGAAATGATTGTATAAATTTGGTAGTCTATATTAGGTGAGTTCTGTTTGTCAAATTTTGACCATTCCCATACAATTAAAATTATTTAATGTATTCAGAATGATAGAACGATAACTTCCATTAAAATTTTCATTTTCTATTTTTATATGTAATCTATTTTTCTATTCAAGGCATGTTTAACATATACATACATATGGTTATATGTATATATATGTAAATATATAGTTTCTAATTAATATAAAATTCGTACTAATTAATGCTTTCTCTTGGGGTAAATAAAATTATATTATATGGAAATTAATTTTTTTCACAGTGATATAGAATGATATTCTTAACTTTATATAAAACTTGACAAAAGGTTGTATAAATGGTATAACAATAAAACCCATTTTTTTTAAATAATGTTTTTTTACTTTCACAAATATTCAAATTTTCAAAAGCTTTAAGTATGTATTTCACAGCATTGCATTTTGCTGATAGTACTAAGAGTAAGTACTTAATTTTTTATAAAAATATATACTGGTTTCTCTCTATTAAGCCACAGTAACATGATTAGCGAAAGCTTCTTTAAATATAAAATTGTTTTACTATAAACTTTGGCAATACATTTTCCACTTTTTGAATCAAACTCTGTTGAATTTTCCATAAAAGCGTTGGATGTTTAGAGAATTGCCAATATCCATTTCTTTTCCTTTCAGCCCATTTCTGTGCCTTTAATAAACGTTTCTGATAATATAAAATTTCTTTATCCTTTAACAATGATGTCAATGAATTTTTTTCTACTGTAGCAAAACCAAGTTTCACTAATTCTTCCCCAATCCTCATTTGTTCCTACACAAAAATACACTTTGAATGAAAAAATACATGACTAAAATTTAACAATCTCTTTACCTGATTTTGATCTGACATAGTAACTATACAGTTCAAGTATTCTTTTGTAGGAATCAAGGGTATTAAATTTATATTTTTTGTGTTAACAATTGTTTGTAACCAACTAATACCTAAAACCAGATAATAATTAATGAAACATCCATACTTATGGATATATTACTAACACTTACCATTAGCTGTTATATTTAGTCCAGCAAGTTTAACGGGTAAGTACTTTGAATTATTTAATCGTGGCAATGGTATTAATGGTTTGTGATCAACCATTAAAAGTGTACCACAGCTGGGTTCTATACGCATTACAGTACCTTGAAGTGGAATTTTGTTACGCAAAAAATGAGATGGTATACTGGACGGACTTCTAAATTTAGAAAACTAAGAAACGAAAGAACATAAGAACACATACTTAAATTAGACGTATTATCAATACATGTGATACATACAGGCCTTATTCGGTACAGTGCAATAACTAAACTAATACTAGCAATTCCATAACTGACCACCTAAAATTAAATCAAGTACTTAAAATTTAATTTCAAAGAAAAATGTAGGTTAGGACATACCTTCACTGTTTCTGCATGAGTTTCACAAAGAATTATGTATTTTTTTAGAATAGTTGGTTTTATTTCTGCTTCCATTATTAATTGATTTCTTATTCTCTATTAAAAAATATAACGGACAGTTTTATCTGTAATTCATTTGGATACAAACATCATACCGAAGGTATAGAGATATAAATATTTGGTCATCAATATTTTTATACGAATTCATAGAATTATAAACTTAACAAAAATGAATAATAAAATATTTTTAATGTATCAATGTTTAATTTGATACATGTAATCAGTTTTAAATTACGCGTTGTTTTATGACAATCGTGTAAATACCTTTTCTAAAAAAATGTTCATGCAACTATGTTAATAATAATAATAATTTATATTTTATATAATAATTAATAATATATTAGCATAATTGTCTAGATTCTATTTAACATATAAAATTCTAAAAAATATTATATATAGTAAATGGTATATGCAAACACATAGGACTATACGGAAAATGTAACAAATCTTAAAATATTATAAATAAAATCATATAATAATATAAGATTATATCGTAATATTGTTTTATAAGTATTTTCAATATATTTTAATGATACGTTAATAATTAAGTTCTAAGTTTTTACACAATGCAGTTTGTTTTCATTCGTCACTTTCTTTTATCCATGTCACATGTGTCTGCCAGTGCGTCAGTACACGCGCTGCCATCGCAGCTGAGCCGAAGTGACAAGTGTAAAGGAATTAAAAGGATAACTTGTATAGGTTCTTCATTAAATGCGTACACTATACAAAACGAGAGACTATCCGAAGGGTTGATTGACGGGCACATTGTGAAAATGTTTCGTGATGGTCAATACTTGGAAGTAATAAAGGTATCATGATCAACAGCTGTCAACAGCTGTTCACACAGACGATCCTGCAACCAGGCACAAGTAAAATAGAAGCTGTATTCGTAGGCTTCAGACAATTGTTTAGCAACCGCAGTTGTTACTGTTCAAGAGAAGACAATAAAAATTAGAAGGAAAAAAGTTTCGACCAATAAATGGCTTGATCTTGAGGATTGGGCAGCGTTATATAAAATTTTAGAGAGAGCAATTCTACGGAACGTTCGCAAGGAAGGATTGTTTCAGAATTCAGAGAAATGCAGAGGCCAAAAGTCTACCAGACAATTGGACATCACGTAAGCTGTATTATTTCTTTTCTTTTTTTTATCTTGATAGAACAATTTTAAACTCAACATAATTACTCTATAAAATAATATTTGAAAGGACACAGACAATAAATGTGACAAATTTCTGCAACAGCACGTAGAATATTATGTTAAAAAAAATTTTAACAACACTATTAATTATTATCCATTATCTCACAAACGAACGAATCGATAAAATAGACACCTTACGGAGTAACGGAATCTGATTACTATTAGTATATTTACGCAGATGTTTCTATAAATGGTAGATACACGTTCGAGCCGTCAGAAGTTGCGAAAGATGTCACCTCGTTGCCTACGATCAGAGTAAATGTGTCTCCTGTGAAAAAAAGATCGGGAAAATCGGAAGTAACAGAAGTATCCGACGAGAAGGAAGAGACTCAAGATCGAACGGCAGAAAAAACCCGAAACACTATTTCCGATTCAACGTGCCAAAAAGATAATGATAATAGTTTACCAAAGAAAATCGAAAATAATGCCAATGTAGCGAAGGTGGCGAATGACGGGGCAAAGAATGATAAAACCAAAAGGTACTTACAGCTGGACAGCTTAGAGAGTAACACGTTGGAGGAGTACGTGCCAGATGCGCCAGCGACTAAAAAATTATGCACGAATTTAAAATATATACCTAGTAGGAAGAGTACGTTGGAACGGATCCAAATATCTTCGAACGAATACTCTCCGACGATATCGGATAATAAAAGCGTGACAAGGGAGGTCCGATATATTCCGAATTCCGTTGATTTGTCAAAAGTGTCTTACGAAACATACGAGCCTAGCGCTTCGTCTGTTGTCGACCATCCTGAGGAATACGTTCCTACGTCGAAGGGAATGAAAGCCTCCGTAGAGGAATATCAGCCTGATTTCACTAGCAAGTCTATGAAATTTGATGACAGTTACGTGCCGTCGAGCGTTCAATTGATTACCGAAAATTCGAAGAAAGTAGGCAGACTGAAACGGCAACAGTTAGAGAAACATTCATTGCGCCACAAAGAGGTTTCCAAGAAGAATATGGACCTCTTTACCTGAAATATATTTTGATAGTATATATCAAAGTCGAACAAATAAATTGGAAGATAGTATTTTTAACAAATATAAAATATAAATATCTTTTAATTTTACTATAACATTGTACGATAAATATATTGTACAATAAATATAAATTGAATAAAAAAGGTTGTATTTTTAGTACAAAACATTTCTTATTACTATTTCAATTATATTTATCCATATACATTAATTAGCGCTTAACGGTCATTGTCTTCGTTTTCCGAGGCTGGTTCCTCCACTAGATTTTTTATCAGCTCAAATTTAGGCTCTATGTTCTCTTCCTTGACGCTTTGATCCTCGCTGTCCGTTTGATTCAGTTCTTCATCATCTGTATCGTCATCCGCTCCAGGATGGGCAGGGACCTTATGGGTTGGACTATTGCATGTTTGCATGGTACCTGGCTTTTGCCATACTTTCTGTGATTCTTTCATACCGCTGACTTTCTCCATGTAATAATCATATACAAATTTAGCCATATGCGGCATGTCTTCTATTTCCATGGGCGAGGTAGATGGAATAGCATCGTTAAGTCTTTCAGTAGGATAATGCTCTTGTGGAAGTAGCTGCAGCTTCAGTGGTCTTTGCATCAACTGATCGAACGCGGGCGTTAATTCGAAACAGTTCTTGAACAGGGAAACTCTAGCAAACACGTACAGACCCAGACGTGCTCTTGACATTGCTACTACCAAACGTCGTGCGTCTCGCAAGTGACCTACAGCGCGAGTCTTTACAAGAGACAATAATATATAATCATTCTGTTGACCTTGATACTTGTCAACTGTTGTTACTTTATTCGGTCGACCTATTAAAGGATTACTGGCGCATCTTATATTTATCACATCTCTGATTAAATGTTTTTGCCCGTTGTAAGTGGTCAGTATACTGATCTTATCGGCAGGGTAACCAAGTAATCGCATGTACATAAACACAGCGACGCAGTATTCAGCTTCAGCGAGATTTTGATAAAAGTAAGCACTAGGCTCGCTCTCTCCCACTCCGTTGAAGTCTTCAACATTGATGAGTTGAAAGTCGTACAAGAATCCGGCATTTGCTACCAGATACTCCGGACTGCGTTCCACGTGAGCGAGATTTCCCAACTTTTTGTACCGCCAATTGTAGAGGTTACAAATACTGGGCCTAGCACGACCTTGACCATCGAGATCAACAGTGGGTACGCCTAATCTAACGAATCTCGCGAAAAGAGATTGCTCCATGTTTGAGTACTTCTGAAAAGCCATGTTTTTAATAACCGGCGGTAACTGATGATGATCTCCTATCATTATCCAACGTTTCAATCGATTGTATCCATCTTGTGGATTTTGTAACAACAATGGTATGAAAGTTTCTATTTCTAAAATTTGCGCCGATTCCTCCATGAGAATGTTGTCGTACTTGAAACCCATATCCACAAGTTCGCGTCTTTTGAGAGCGGCGTGAGTACAGGTCATAGCAATAACTTTTGCCTCTTTAACCAATAAATACTTTGATCTGTCCAGACCCGATCGCAGCAATTCGAATGCCCTAAATTCTTCTAATTGTGCAAAGATTCTTTCTATATATCTACAAGACCAATATACAGTTATAATTTCACGGAAAATATGTTCGTCACACTGTTATTTAATATAAAATTACCTGAAACAACTGCGCGCTATTTCCATGTCCTCTGCATACGTGTTACGTTTAAATAAGGGTTGCGGCGCGTTATCGAAAAACTTATGAAATGGAAATTCCTCGTCGATTATAAAAGCAGGGGGTGAATTTTTCTCTGTCCCTTGTCTTTGTTTGAGTCTAGACTCAAAGCGTTCCCATCTTGCTAATATTTGATACATAAAAAAGTGTCCGGCTGTTTCACACGTGTACGCTACGTCACCTTTCACATTCAGAGATTCCTAGTAAACAATGTTTCAAGGAGTATAAGAAATTAGAGCAAACATCAATTCGCTTGTTCATAAAACACAAACCTGCAGTCGTTGAACTTCCATTAGAAGATCCAGACGTTTAGCTAAGACATAGTTAACTCTACCGTATCTGCTGAAATCTTTTTCCGTTTCTAATGCTTCTTCTCCATGACCAAGACGGAGCAAGTGTCTTTCATCAATATCGAGTGCCATGATCTTTTCAAAAAGTTGATTCAACGCTTGGTTAGAATGTGTGACTATTAGCGTTCTTTGATTGGGGAAATTGTGATACAGATTTGAAATAATTTGTACAGCGACGTCCGTTTTACCAGTACCAGGAGGACCCACGACAAGTGTCAATCCTGGTTGCATACCAGCCCTAATAGCTTCGACTTGTGTCGGTGTAAACGGGATCTGATTTCTTTAACAAAATTATATATAACGTGAGAATAATGTATGCATGGGGTATGATTTAATCAAATCAACAGTAATGTTTAGTAGCATACTTCTTAGGTTCGTTGGCTTTATAAGGACCCCGACTGGGTGGAACATGTGGCTCAACCCTGATAACTTTATTTATCGGTTCATTGTTCTGTTTGGCAAGAACATCCAGGAACGTTAAACGGAAAGGTCGCACTAGTTTCTTTTCATCGTCTGTAGAAACTTTAATTTCATACTGAGGAAAGCTGGAGCGTAAATGATCCATATCGAGAAACGTGTCATTAAAATCCATTGTTGCGATTTCATTTGGCATTCTGCAAGCGGAAACAAATATAATATATTACAACATCCCATTAAACAGTCTGTAGTATTTCAAATGTACCTGGCGTAACGAGCCGCGCCGGGATCACCATAACCAAGAATTATATCGTGGAGCCAATCAGGAACAACGCACTCTGTATTCATAAGTTCCCTGATAGTCTCTAGGACCGCTTTAAAGTTATTTTCCTTTGGTTTTCGTCTCATTATAATATTAAACCCCTCGTACACATCCTCGCCACCGTGACTAGCGTTATCCATGTCGATTCGATATTGATTGGAATCTAGCCAGACCCTGTACGTTCTAGTGTCACCAGGTAAAATTGGTCTAGGTTCTGGACCGTCTTCTATTACTCTGCCATTGGAATCTAGCATACCCTCGACTTCGCATCCTCTCACGGTTGTTAAACCAACTTGTGGGACGAACGGCAATTTATGACTGTATTTGGTGCCTGCAAGTAAAATAAATATTTTAATATCCGCTACTCTCGCTGAATGAAATGGTAACGCGTTGACTGCCACGGTGGTCACCGGTGACCGGAGCTTAAAAATTGCTTAAATACAATTGCAATAAGAGAACTGATGTCGAATAAAAATACTTAGTAACACAAACAGCTAGATACCAAAGCATTAATAATTATTTCTAATATCATTTGCCTTTGTTATGAAAGAATATGTATTGTTACACAAAAGTTTCTTCAAACATACATTTTACCAATACGTAATTATTCTGTGATTCATTCTCATGTCTTACCAATCGGGTTTTGTGGCTTGACAGTGATCAGAAAACAAACATCGTGTTTCCGTAGATTCTCCCATTCAGATTTAATCTCTTTACGGACGCTCAAGTTTATGGTAACGTCAGCTCGCACCCTGGACGGTCTCTTCTCGCCGATGTTAGGCTTCGCCACCTCGACCACCGCGAACTGAGTGATAGGCTGAGCCATCCTGGCCCAGCCACCAAAGTAAACACCGCCGTCTTCGGCTCGCCTGAAATAAAATATAAACGAAATATAATACCTGTTAACGCACGCCTTAACACGTTCGCTACCACCGTCATATATTTATGACGGCCGTAATCCTATATTTTACATAATGGGAATAAAATGAATCTTATAGATATTGTTATTAGAAATTATAAACTACGACATTACGTTTAGGAGCTCAATGACTCGTTTCACTTTCATTTTTCTAATATTTTGTTTAGATTTATTGGATTGAAGAAAATATTATAATTGAGGAGGCCGTTGTTGAAATAAACGCCGGTAGCGAATGTGTTAATCATAAGTTCTGTCACGCTAGAAAGCGACTTACCAAGGGCTCAACCTGCTCACGGCATCCTCGATATCCTGACGTATCTCATCTGAAAACGATCAACGCCATTAACCTTTTAGCCACGGTCTACATATAACAAATGTAACGGCACAACTATCGATGACGGGGAAAGAATACAGTACCGATACAGTGATGTACCGTTCAAAAAGATCATTTCCTCAAGCCATTATAGTGGCGTACCGTAATGTAAGATGGCATCAGCGAAAGCCATTGTAATGGCACATCGCATCTAAGAGGTTAATCGCAGGACGAATTAACCCCTTGCCCAAAATTAATTTATTGTTAATCGTTTACTAGAAATAAAAGAATTCCACGCTCATCGAATGCCTACATTTATCCCAAAGATTAATTTCTAATAGGGAAATAACATTTCATTTGAACTTAAAGGAATAGAATAGCATCCACAGTTACTAATCTCCGCTCGAAATCTTTGTCAAGAGTCTAACATGATATTATAAGACACAAGGGATTAATGTTCAAGCAAACTAATTATCAGGTACACGTACAGGTAGACTCCAAGCGAAAGAGATTGAAATTCCTTAACAGGTAATCGTGCAAAGTAAGGAACTGCAGATTCAGTTTCGGCAGGGCCAAACATCCTTCGCCGGAGAAATATTCCGTCGGAACGATACTCTCGTTCCAGATGATCTCTTCCGTGGGGTACAACGGCATCTCGTTGAGCTCTTCCAATTGGGAGGCTCTGCGTTCATGGCGAGAGATCTGGAATTCAATTTAACACTTTGCCCTATCATTCATTTCTCAATTGCTCCGTAACATTTTATACTTATTAATAATTTCATAGTAACTAGGCACACTCTACGTCCACGTTTGCTCCGAAGTACAATAACTAATAATAAAAGAACGATGTTTAACCCTTTGCGGACGAATGTCGACACTCTGCCGAGATCAAACTTTCATGCTTGTAATGCTAAGTTGCAAACAAATGATTCCAGTATTCAAACAGCAAGAAACCCGTACATCATTTCCTCATCCTATATTATTCAAGAATTCGATGTGCGATTTGGCAGAATCTACAGAAGGTATTGTATACTTTAGAGAATCTTCGTCCGTGAAGGGTTAATTTGAATTCGAGCTTTAAGCTCGGTGAATCGAGAATACGAAGCTCGACGCATCGTTTAGTATCTTTACTGCGCGTCTGACACGATGTTACAAAGCAACGGGTTAACACGTTAAACGCCATGTCAGTCGTCGATGACTGGCGCTTCTGAATTACTTGAAAACAATCGTAACATGCAAGATCATCGATGTCGAATCGAAATGTTTAATAACGTAACTAAGTCGATAATAGTGTAATGCAAAGATGGTAACGCCAAATAGTGAATAATTGCTGCTACTTTTCTTTGCTAAAAAGGATAACCGTACAGAAGAATGGCCAAGATTTCCGTGGCGCTTAACGTGTTAATTACTGAAAATCATTCTTCCTTCACCTACCAGAAGTTCACGGAGGAAGTCTATGTCGTACCGATACCAATTCTCTTCTTTCTCCCGTTCTTCCGATGGCACAAGACTCAGGTAGCTCGCGATCGATCTCAGCTTCTCCTGGCTGAAAAAAGAAAGGAAACACGCACACGTAACGGAGACAACTGCCACGAGAGACGCCGGATCGTTTCGAATTCGAAGAAATGGTACCTGAGCGAGCCGAAGTGCCTGTAAAGGGCGTCCCTCGTGTCCACGCTGGCCACGTTCGTCAGAGCGAAATTTCGCAGGTCCTGGAACTTCGCGAAGACCGCTTTCTGGAAAGAATTTCAACATATTTTCCTCGTTCTACGGTTTTCGGCGTGCCTTCCGGCACGCTTCCGTTTAGAGGCCACCTCGGCGACTCGACAACTGGCGCGTGGAATGGACCATTAATAATTTATAAGACGAATGCACCGACTTCGCAACGTAGTTCGATCGGAATACGCCTCTAACCACACACAGAAAAGAAATAAACGTAGCCGAGGTCGATTTCAATCTGACAGTCGCGGAATTAATGGATTGCTAGAAAAAGGTATCAATGTCACACATTCCGAATGAAATCGTTTACATCGATTGGAAACAGGTGAACAGAAGCTACAAATTATCTTCTTCCTCGGATTTCCATAGTATCTTCAATATTTATTGATACATTCTGTTAGAGCGTGTAACGTGTTCTAATTTATTTGTTCGTTTAGTTAATGCGAAGTGCTGTTAACCCCTTGCCCTCTGACTTCTCTCTCAACCATGATCGACATTTTGCCGTTCATAATTTATTGAAATAATTAACGAATTCTGGACGCATACTATATGTACGTTTACTCTGAAGTATAATTGCTAATTGACGAATAACATTCATTTTGAATTCAAAAGAATCGTATATATCTGTGTTTGCTCTGCTTGAAATCATCACCACGTGTCTCGATGTTACATGGCAAAGGGTTAAAGGATAGACTCAAAGAAGTGGTCAATATTGTCTTTGCGTATTGTTTATTCCAGCGAGCATGGAAAGTGCATAAAACAGAGTATCCTCGAAATAGTCTTTATTGTTACTGCAATTCTTGCATGGTCGAAGGAATTCTTCTTAGATCAGGAAATTTATTTTAACACGTTGACTGCCAAGACAAAGGTTTTTGATCCGAGAAGCCAATTTGATTCAATCATATTATATTATTATTAAAGTTTCTACGGGATAACTCATAGTTGACGTCCTAGGCAGTAATGCAAATTACAAGTTACCTCGTAGTTGGAAGTCAACGTGTCAAGCATTTAGAGTTTAGAGTCAACGAAGCGCTTGTTAATAAATTGCAAACGAATTCGAGAAATGCAGCGTCATCATTACATAGCAGTAATCGATTCGCTACATTTACTAGATTAACCCTTTGTCCTAAAACAACTATATATATTACTTAGTTAATTCGAATTCAAAGTAAATATTATTCCTCTGTAATCAGCTATTACACTTAAAAGGAAATATAGGCGTAACATATGCTTCGAATTTTTCTCTTTTTCCAATAAATTATTAATGACAAAGTAGCCGTATCGATCAGAGTTGAGAAAGAAATCGTAGGCCGAGGGATTAAGAAGAGAAGAATATCGCGATCGTTATACCTGAAGGGAAGTGATCTTGGTGTAGTGCAGCTGCGTCATATCGTGATCCGTCAGCGGATCGCCGGTCTCCTCGTTGATCTCGAACCTCGCGTAGAACTTCAGCATCTCCAGCAGCTACGGATCATGAAGAATGACGGTCTCAGTTATTCCTATTTCGCAATTATTGATGTTTGAAAAGTATTCGATATACGAAATGATTTTGAAAATAAGTAGTTCCACGTAAATATTATAACGAACATGAAGAAATCGGAATAAAAGATGTATTATTGCAATCTTTATAACGATTATAAATATTTCTTTGTAAATATTAACAAAATGATCACTGATTCTATAATGTTGTAGTTTATAATTTCTAATAATATCTGTAGGATTAATTTAATTTTCATTCTGTAAAATATAGAATTACGTCACAGGTACGTTGGAAATTGTTGAAAGAAGTATCACACTCTAACAGACTACAAAAATTAATCTTCTAATAATAATAAATAAAATAAGTATAAAACACTGAATTCCGCTGCGAATTACTTTAATTCGCTTAAAGACAAATTTGAAGATAAATACAAGTTTAGACTCGACAATATTGACAATAAATTGTGCAAACTTGTTCACCTTTATTTCGTGGCCAGTAACTGACTGTATAAAGTGTCGACACGGTTAGCTTTACTTGGCCAAGAACAAGAGAATCCCATTATCTTTGACCGTTGCCTAAACAAACTAGTTTCCGGTGTTCGTCGACATCCGTTCGCCGGAGGCGAATTCCGCTTTCGTTTCGTTTCCATATTAATGCCTTTTAACTCTTTCAGGCACACGATTTTAACCCTTTTCGGACGAACGTCGACGTTTCGGCGAGATCAAATGTCCATATTTGGAAAAGTAAGGCGCAAACAAATGATTCGATTACGCAAACAGCAGGAGATCAGTGTATAATTTCCTTTCTTTCTATTATTTAAGCAATCGATATATAATTTAACTTCTTCTGCTGGAGGTTCCGTATATTTCGAAGAATCTTTCACTTATTTACGCATTTGTTTAGTTCATAGCATTGCCAACTGCATGGAAAACCTGAACACGTCGAGTGCCACGAAAAACAGCGGTTTATGTATCACTTATCCTTTCTACAGCAAAGATACAAAGCAAGAATTATTAATTCTTTGAAAATTCTTGTATTACTCTATTACCCAGTTATTTACGTCACGGAAGATTTATATTCGAAAGCAATTATCTTCCAAGTTATAATTATTTTCTAGTAATTCGAAAGCTCCGCGTGGCAGTCAAAGTGTTAAATAAAATATTAAACTGTACGATTATCGGTAACTACAACTTTTCGGGGTAGGTTAAAATATATCCCACCATGCATAAAAAGCAAAGGGCGGGGCAGTTTTTACCCCGTCTAACCCCAAAGAGTTAATCGTTCGGTTTTCACGCGGTTCATTATCGATTTCACAATGATCCTGACACCGTCGAGCCAGTGTTTGCACTGGTACTAGATACCAACAAGTTCACTGCCACGATTATTCCGCGTTTGGTAATACGCAGACGGTCCCTGTCGTCGCGGATTATTCCGTTCATTACGCTGGTGTAACAACGTCACGCGAGGACCGCCAAAAATCCGCGTTAAATATAAATCTCGTATATCTTGGGGCAACTGGAGCGAAAACGTTATCGCTCAAGGCCACCGCGATCGACGAGCGCCATCGAAGATCTCGGTGATCCCTGATTTCGCGGAAAATATTAAAATTGCTCGAAATGTTCTGGATTTTCCATTTTCGAGTGTCGCATTGATGCCCGTCGACGTTAGATTACGGTTTCGTTTGAAAACAGTCGGGAAGCATTTAGATTGCACTTGAACGCGACACGATTTCGATATCACAAATAATTACGATAAAACAAGGAGTCATTGGGATGAAATTAAACGTTGCGTTATACGTGTTTTCTCTCTTAACGAGCACGCTCGCCCGTTAAGCGGTTTTCAATTGCTTAATAATAAATTCGAGATAATTCTATTCGATTTATTTTATTGCCTCAATCCAGATAACGGGCGGTTTTCAAATCGGAGCACGTGTCTCTGTCCTGATAATACAGCGTGAATCAACTTACAGGTGACTGTGAAGATAATCTGGGGTATTGCCGTGCAAACGTTCACGTTCTCGGACTAATTTCGGGAAGCACTCGTGGTGTCACCTGTTCGGTGTCACCTGATTTGCGTAAGACGAAAACAAAGGTTTCGCGTCCCTTCGAATTACCGTCATCGCCTTTCAAAGCCAACAACGTGAATCGTGTTAGAATCTTCGTCGGAGAACAAATCGGGATCAGTCGGGAACAATGGGCGGAGATTAAAGCTGTTACTCACAAGATAATCGGGCGTGCGAGACAATATGGGCTGCAATGTCCATTATTAATGTTTCATCCGAGTACTCTATTTGTATTACTCGACCGTCTCCAATGGAAGTTATTCGTTCGCGATAAATAGTCGAACAATGAAGTCCCAACTATTCAACCCTTGCGCGACGCAAAGGTCAGCGACCAAAATGTTCGTGTTCCTTCGAACTTCGGTGTTACAATATTGTATCATTAATTGTGCTCTTTCGACTTGGAATAACGTTCCATTTAATCAATGTCGGTAGCATCTTAAGATTAATTATTTTCTTGGTAACAAATGGCAGGTTCTCCTGTGAGATGTGTGGCAGTAGTAGTTTCCTTTTTATTATAATTGGAATTGATGACATGTTTTATGACACACGTTGCATTCAATCAGGAACGAAAAGACACGAACAAAAGGGAAAATAAGAGAATCGTTGTACATATCTGAATAGAAGGGATCGCGAACTGAACCTTCTCGACGAAAGTACCGACAAAATGGCGGGCGCGTGGCGTGGGTCTGCGTTGGCGCCGTGCAGTACCAGATAAAAATAAGAATATTTCGAGCTACGGTACCTCTGGGCTGCTGAATGTTACATTTTGTAGTGAATGGACCACCGAATACACTCCAACAAGCCTAATTAACAGCAGTCATCAACAACATTTTCTACACGAAGTTATAATACATCGACACAATTCCTGGAAAATTAAGGCATCGAAAGAACATATTTAACCCTTTACACTCGGAAATTCTTCATTAGAATCATTCGACAGTGTCCGATGGAACATAGTCGACATTATTTGAAACGAACTACTGAGAAAACATACGTAAATTAAGAAAAAAAGCTACTTTATAGAAATATTTCGCGTATTGATGCATTATACAAAACTTAGTATTATATATGACACTTTGTAATTCTGTTATACCAAATGAAATGGTGACTGAGAGTCACCAGATTTCATACAGTAAAACTATGACATTTGATATTTAATATTATACCTTACATAACGCATCAATTTGAGAAATATTGAAATAAAATAGCTTTTCTCCTCGGTGTACGTATTTCTCTTCGAGTTAGTTTCACCGGATATCGTCTTTATCTCATCAGAGAATGTTCAAATATTTCTAGTGGAAAACCTCCGAGTGCGAATTCCCTATACTTAATCTCACAATCGGCAAAGTCGAAAAGTCAATTCAGAATACACGACCAAACTCGGAGAGTAATTTCAACTTAAAACCTCAGCAGGTGTCGTTTGACAGTTTTGATAGGAGCATTGTCAGTCGACTGCGCGCCGCGCCGCGCCGCGCGCCGTTGTTTGAGAGTCCGGTCGCAACACGCGGCAGTGGGAGAGTATCGTACTATGAAACGAAAAGTCTCGCGGCTGGCAAACATTCCAGTGTGAAGCCTGAACGTGCGACGCGTTGCTTCGTCTGTCAACTCTCTTTCACTGTTTGTACCGTCGTTGATGTTACCGGCGCGCCGTTCTTCTCTCGATCGAACGCGACCGACGAACAACCCCTCGCTCGCGGGTCACGGTTCAAAGATCACGATCGACGATCGTCGAAAAATCTGCGGATTCTCGAGACTATGTAAACGACCAACGTTTCATTGGCATTCGTCAGAACCAATGGTACCCGAACGGTTCGTTTGATATTCTTCACTCGGGATCACGTGGACAGAAATGTGAATCGCAGTTCGATATCGAATATTATTTACTATCGGATATTCTGTCGTATTGAATAACGTTTCGAGTCGAAGAGGGACCGGTGTGTCGTTGTTACCGAACGATCTACCTAGATTTCGTGGATCCTCGACGGAAGGACGAGCCGATCCTACCTGCGTAGAACCAGTTTCGGGCCAAGAAGAGATGCGGTAACGAGAAACGAAAAATAATGCTGTTAGACGTGAGCTACCACAAGTACACCGGCGGCACATTGCCAGCCAGAGGTGCGTAAACGATCTCGTAGATCGCAGGTTTCTCTTGCTTTCGTTTACGAGGAACGGGGATTCTCGTAACGGACACTTTAACCCTTTGACGGCGAACGTCGCCATACCGAGGACATCAAGTTTCCGCGTTTAGAACCCGCAGTTGCGAGCACGTGACTTGTATACTGAACATTAGGCGTGCGGAACGAGTGAATTTGAGTCGTATCGAATTTTATAAACATTGTCCGGTAAACGTTACGGTCGATCTCGATTGGCGCAGTTGTCTGCTTTTAAACTACTGATTTCGAAGATCGAAATGAACGAAGATCAGTGCGTTTAACGGTGAACCTAAATTTCTCTATAGCAAATCCAAAGGTGCGTCTATCGAGACTTTAACTGATTTACAATTCAATTTGCGTATTGCTGAATCAAATTCTTCAATATTTTCTCGGAGAAACGTCTGCAATCTTTTTAACAGTCGCGAAATGAAGAAATTAAGAATGGCTCATTCTTACCTGTCTAATACCGTTTAGCGTTATATAACGAGAGATCAGCACATAGTTTTTTTCTTTCTTCGTCTGTTTTTATTCAATTTCTTCGTCTGCGAAGGATTAACCGTCGTCGACGCCAACGGTCAGGCATTAGTATTCCATGCAACTGGTGTCCTCGCATCGATTCGGACCCACGAATTGTTCGTCTTTCTTGCTTCGTACCGGTACACCTCGATTTACGCGGAAATCCGTTCCACGTGGATTCGTTTTGCGCGAACGAAAATCGCGTGAATAGAGCCCAAGAGAAAAGAAAATATCGAAGAGAAAAGCTGGTGTAAGTTTCAGAAATACACATTTATTTCACACAGTTCAGGAAATAATAATAATGACATTTTAGAAAAGAGAAGTATATTTTACTCGCTGTTACTAAATTCAGATCGCGCGTAAAAACTACGTCGTAGTGTTCCAATTTGCCCGCGTAAAAGGGAGGCTCGCGTGAAGAAAGCCCGCGTAAATCGAGGTTCAGATGTATTTTTATCTCGACGACTGAAAAACTACTGAAGTGAAACGATAAAGCGCAAACATGGCGCTCCGACACGTTCACGACCGATGTTTGTTTTCGTAACAATCTTCGTAGTTACAATATTTCAATGGACGCAACCGATCGTCTTCACAAAGTGAAAATAAAACTGACGAAAAAATCCCTACTTTCCCGCACGTTGTGTCTTAAGATTTTCAATAGGAACACACGCGAAAGTAACGTGATTTACTTTGAACAAGATGCAAAATGTTGAGCAATAACACTGGAATTTCTTTGGTTAGACTTCTTCTTTTACAATTACCGAACAGGACGCTTCCGTTTAAAATAGCTTCGAATTAAAATACAAGTCAAGTGGAATCTTGATAAATGCACCTTCGTATCTACAGAAAATTGTTGAAAAGCCGACTTGACCGTTCAGTAGTGCTGACGTTAAATCAAATTCGAATGTATTCGCTCTGTGGTAGGATCTTAATAAATGAGAGACCGCTTTGTAATAGCGGCAAGACACAAAGGTTCGATTCTGTTCGAGTCAGTCGTTAAATTCGAGTGTTGATGGACTACAGATGATTGGGAACAATATTCCGCATTCAACGGAATTCAACTACGTTGCGATGCGTTGAAGGTTTCTGATTCAGCTCGTATTTCTATTGACTTCCATGTCGACAGGGTTGATTCTCAACACCTGACGAGCCAGTTACCGAGACACGCAATCGGCTCCGAAATATCCGAGCGTTTTACGATCGTTCGAAACGCGAATTGCATCAGGCAAATCGCGGGGAAGAGAAGAGAAACAAAAATGAGGAACAGAACAGCGTTGTTCACGCTTGTTGTCGCGTTAGACGATGGGCAATACAAACAGCAATCGTAGATACAAGCGAGCGATAGATAAAGTGAAGGAAGAGAGAACATTATCAGTGCTGGTATGTAATCAAGTTTCTCGTGTCACGACCTTTTTAGGCAATTTCTTCCCGTGATTCACAGTCGAGCGATTATATTAGCACTGGAGCCTTTGAACCGTCTTTCGAACATTTCTTTCGGAAAGCCATAAGCGTGAATTCATTAAGATTTCAGTTGGTTTATATTTCAGTTTAGGTATTGCCAGATCAGCTTCTTCGATCGTTTCTTAGAGAAGTATCTGTACCTTTCCAGTAATTCTAAAAGAAGAAATTCGGAATTGGTCATTTTCACCCATCTGGTAGTTCTAGTGTTAATTTAATGGAAAATACGTGAAATATTTATATTATTACATTTCTTTAGTGACTTGTTAGTAATTCAATTACGTTGCACCGTCATCCTCGAACGAGTGGACTACATAATCGTCTGTTTTTAGAAAATCTCGTGGACTGATAATATTTTGAAACATTAAGATATTACTTTATGGAAAGAAGAATTGTAAAAATAATACAGGTTAATCCAAAGGAACTAGGAAACCTATTTCTACGTTTTCGATGCAATAATAGAGACAATGAAATTGAGAGCACGGGAGGCGTCATTCGTTGAAATAGTCAGTGACAGAGGGGAAAAAATGTAACGCTGCCAATGATAACGGATAATGTTGTGATAGACGTATTTACATATCACCCGCAAAATGGTTAAACAAACCGCAACGCATCTCGCGTGTACGTTAAACGTTTTATCGACAGGATCCGTTTGCTGTTTCATTTTATATGAACTCACGATTATCAACGTTTCCCGCTGCACTATTGCCTAGCGTCGGTTATTCAGACGGAAAATTCGCGATTCGGAATGCTGGCAGTTTGTTTTCGTTCTACCGCGGCTGATAATTTCAACTTTTCGATTCGATAAGTCGATAATGATACCCGTTTCCTTGGAACTTCGCAATTTCAATTGAACAAGTGATTTATTAAAAAAAGATGTTCGGAACGGCGTTGATTAAGCGGGATTTGAAATTCACGGGAATAATTTGTAACTGGGAAACACACACGGCGCCAGGAAAATACACGAACAGACCCGGTGACGTCTGTGTAATTAGCGGGCGGCGTAACCTCTCCACTAATCGATCAAAAGCAAAATAGAAACGCCGCTGAAAATGCTTCGCGTCTTCCGTTGTGTCGTTACTTTAATCGTCCGGCGGCGAGTTTGTCCCCAGAACTCCGCTTCAAAAACTTCAAAATTGCGAACATTCAAATTTCAAGAAGTTCAGAACTTCGAAGCGTCAGAAATGTCAAGAACTTCAAAATTTCGAAAGTCTAAGTTTCAAGAAGTTCAGAACTTCGAAGCGTCAGAAATGTCAAGAACTTCAAAATTTCGAAAGTCTAAGTTTCAAGAAGTTCAGAACTTCGGAACGTCAGAAATATCAAAAACCTCAAAATTTCAAAAGTCTGAGTTTCAAGAAGTTTAGAACTTCGAAGCGTCAGAAACATCAAAAACTTCAAAATTTCGAAAGTCTAAGTTTCAAGAAGTTCAGAACTTCGAAGCGTCAGAAATGTCAAGAACTTCAAAATTTCAAAAGTCTCAATTTCAAGATATCAGAATGTCAGGAATTTCAAGAACTCCGTTGAAATGACTTCGTGCGTTTTTGTTGTGAGGCACATGCCCGTTCAAAACATCGCAGGCTCCGTCGCGACGGGGCTAATTAAACGAATTGAATCATTAGCTCGGGGAGGGAAGAGGGGAATGGAATAAAAGAGCTGGCAAGTGAGCGTTGGCTGAATCGAAAAAAAGAGACCGGCGCATGTGTACCGTACAGCGATTGACCAGCTGAGAGGTGCATAAAAAGCCACTGTCGGCAGCAGCTGCTTTGTTAACAAAAGCTTCCTTTCTCCTCCTTTTCAGCCGTACGGGAACACCGCCGGCATTTAACACGTTTTAACTATGTTATGACTTCCACCTGAAATCTACGCAAGGATAACTCCGCTTCTCCTACACAAAATACGAAATTACGATCGCGACGAAGATTGTGCTTCCTAGGGAAAGAATAGAGTTATCTTTGTAAATTGTAACTTTTTTTTCTTCACCCCGAGTAACCTGCTTCTGGTGTTCGTCGTCTGGAGAGACGAGGGACAGTGTGAGATCTTTACTCACTATAACTCCAGTTTACTCTATAGTTTACGGATAAACTACCGGCATGGAAGGACATCATGCCACGAAACGCGAAAAGGACCCTCGCGGATCACGGGGCGCAGTCGCGAGCAACGCCTGCGCCCTTCCAGCCCCAACTCAGGCCCGGACTGATTCGCTTTTATAACGAATTATACCACGATGTGACTCTCAGTCGCTTATGAGAATAAAAGGAACGATTAAGATGTTATCGTTTTTGTTCATAGGGCCCAAATTTTAAAAGCCGAAAAAAACTGTTGGAAATGCAACATGAAATAATCAAAGAATTTAAGTGAAAAGTTCAAATGTGACTAAAAGTCACATCGTGGTCCGATTAGGGTTGAGGACCCAACCCCGAGCATCGCAAATTGTGACTGGAAGTTTCGTGAGTTATAACTTCCAATTAAAGTGTCTGTTAATTTCACTCTCTGTCTTCTGTTGGTATTATATAAACTTCACGGCAACCGTGATTTCGTGTTTCGTACAGACAGAGTTATCTCTCAGCGAATTGTAACTGGAAGTCTCGTGATTTATAACTTCCAATTAACACGTCTGCTGATTTCACTCTATTTTGTCTATACAAACTACGAAATCGTAACCGTCACGAGATTTATATATTTCGTATAGGAAACACAAAGTGAATTTCGCGAAAATATTCATTGAAAATCACGCCTCACGAAACGTTACTCCGATGATCAACGGCTCTTGGATGTCCTATGCTCGACAAGAATTTTCAAACGAACTCGTTGCATTCGAAATGTCGCGGGGAACGTAACCGAAGCAAGTGGTTAACATGTTAACCCGTTGACTGCCAGGAGAATTTTTAACGTTTCGCATAGCAATACATGTTCTTCCATAACAAAGACGAATGGTATTAGAAGTAATTATTAATGATTTCGTATCGCAGTACTCGTAGTACACTATCATCCAGCTATTAGCTATATTAAATATCCCGATTCAACATCAGTTTCCTTAGTGTAATTGTATTTAATGACTTCGAAACCACCGTGGCAGTCAACGTGTTAAACGTTGGATCTCGTTCGCCGTCTTTGAAACGTGTCTAGCTCAATAAAGCCGAGTCGTGCCCCGATAATGAAAACAATTTTCTGCAATAACGGTTATATCTTATCTCCGGGCAACGTGTTAATCTATCTGGATACTTTATATATATATATTTTATTTATATATATATATATATATTCTTTTTTTCATAGAAACGCTTTTATTTTCATACCGCGTCACTCACGATTCAAGGAACTCGGAATCTCCGTTTCATCGCGTCAGCGTTTGTTTGCAGTCCCTTTGAATCATTATTCATCGTCGTCATTGCTTATTGTCCACGGCAGAGTTACGAAGTTATTTTCATTCACGATATCGTAATCACGCGCGAAATCTCTTCTCTTCCACCTCGCGTCCTTGGAAACTGATAGCGACTCGCGGTGAATCCGTGATCCCCTATCAATCATTTCCATGTTCTCGTTCCCGGTATCATTGGACTGTTTTTCGAAATCGTTTGACACTACAACTATCGAGATCACCGCACGATTGACACGTGGTTCTCGTGAAAATTGCAACGAAAAAAATGTTAGGCGTATACGACGTTCATCGTACCACCTCTGCCGAGGGTAGCGCCGGCGTCGAATTCCAAATAAAAGCGCTCTGACGGTTGTCGCAGAGAAATTTAGGGAAATCATCTCGATCGCTCGGTAGTTCTAGTATCGCTACTCTCGACCACGTTTGAAATCTTCGCCTCAACGCCGACACGATACTGGAAGGCGAGAGATAAAATGTTCGATTGAAAAGTTCCTCGATGAAATCGTGCGTTGTGTCGAGTGTTGTTCGTTCAACGCTAAACGTACCGGCAGGTTATATAAAACTATTTCTATCGTAACTTGTCGAACGATTGGTTGTAAAGGTAAACAAGTTAGACGATAAATGTTTCTCGGCGGAAACGTGAACCAAAGGGAAGGGAAATATTGGAAAACCGATCGATTGAACGATATAAGAATCGACACGAAGTTAACAGATTCACGGACGTTTGTTCTAGCGTTTCTAGAGAACTACGTGTTCCTCCGTGTAAATCGCGAATATTGTAGCTTCTACATTCGATATCCGTTAAATCAAGGAAATTAAGAACGTAGAATTTCCAATGAAACTTCAACCCTTCGCGGACGAGGACTTTCACGAATATTCAACACTTTCAGCAGCTGAATTATATACGGAATTGCTACACAGTGGAAAGCAGAGAGACACACCTTGATCTTTTGTTATTCAAATAATTCAATGGATCGTGGCTAATTTTGTATCTGGGACACGAGAGTCTGACATCTTCGAGATGCAGACATTCGCTCTCAAAGAGTTAACCCTTTGCACTCGATTTATTTTCAACGTCATTACCTGTAAACTTGTATTTCCACGGAGATGAATAAAAGCAACGTTTTATATCTGTTTTATTGATTCATTATTATAATAAGATTTAATTTCCACAAACAATTTCTCAAACAATTTCTAACGTTCTGTAACAAACTTGCATTGTCATCTCCAGCATAACGTACTTTTCACTAGAAATATTCGACACTTTCTGAAGAGAACACAGACGACACTATTTGAGGCGAAGTTACGAGAAATCATGCGTAAATTAAGAAACAAAGCTATTTTATATAAATGTTTCGCATACCGATGCATCATACGAAACTTAATATTGTATGTAACACTTTGTAATTTTCTTATATCGAATCAAATGGTGACCGAGAGTCACCTCTCGAGTGCAAAGGGGTTAATACCGGTCAGACGACCGGTACGTTTACTGTTAAGGTTGATCGTTCATGGTGTCGCAACTTGCACGCTACGCTTCTTCAGCCAAGGGTCGTACGCAAGTGACCGCTATCTAAGAGGAGTCTAATAGGATCAAATCGTTCGCCTTTAAGCCCATAAGATCCCCATATATAAACCTCGCAGACTGAAGCCTCTGTTTATCGGTTGTGTAATTGAAAGGAAAGAAAAAGTCGAGAGGGAGGAAAGAAACTGCTTATCGTGGTACCGAGTATTCCAATATCAAGGCCCGATAAAGCATTAGAAATCGGTGTTTTCGCGGGATCAGCTGACGTTCAGGCGACACCCGTACCGAGCACCTGGTTCTTTCGGCCGTCCTCGAACGGTTTCAACATCGAGCACACTCATCGTTCGGTTCGACGTAAAACTCCGGCCAGTAGCGTGGTGTGATCCCTAATCTTTGTTTACATACAACAAAATCTGCGACAATCTCAACGGAATATTGCGTGGCCAGTGCAATTCATCTCCGCGTGAATCACGCCGGATCGCAATCGGGTCACTCGATCGTATATTAATGGAGATTAGAGCGAAGTCGTTGTCAGATTGCGGTTCATTACTCGGTTATCGTTTTGCGTTGCGTCGGCTATGGCGAGGACGGGTAAGATCTCGAGTAAATCGTTTTTAACACTAAAACTACCGTGCAGTTGAGTCGACTTTTTGAAATTCCTCTATGGTAACTCCGAGGGTGCACTTATTGAGAGTTTCATTGATTTGACATTCAGCTTGCGTATCGCTAAATCGATTCCTTTAATAATTTCTCAGAGAAACATCGCCTTTTGAGCAACTGCAGAAACAAGAAATCAGGGATGGGTCATTTTGAACGGTCTGGTAGTGTTAGCGTTGAGATTTTAATCGTTAACCCCTTGCCCGACGATTCTGAATGAAAATTGAGGTCTGACAGCTCCGATTCAATTTATTTATGAAAATAAATATTTAAGAGGAAAACTAGTGTCGAATCGGAATATTTAATTATATAGGTAGCTAAATAATAGCGTAACTTAAGAGCTACAATACCGAATGGTGAATAATTAATTCTAACATCATTTGCCTTCGTTGCGAAAAAATAAGTAATATTATACGAAACACTGAAAATTCTGATAGACTTTTCTATCACCAACAATTCAACGACCTCTGAATCCCTTTAAACAACTGTTGTCGAAATCAACACTAAAACTACGAGATGAATTGATTCACTTCAGAATTTTTATTTCACAAATATTTCAATGGTAAAGACGCGTTCGCGATTTTTCATTAAATTCATGTATTCATGCAGATACGAAGATTCTTTGAAATGTACAAAATCTTCAACAGACGAAGCTAAATTACATATCAATTGCTTAAATAATAGCAAAAACAGAAACTACATGCTAATCTCTTGATGTCCGAGTAATTCAATCATTTGCCTGCGACTTAGTCTTCCAAATATGAATTTTTCCTCTCGTCGAGATGTCGACATTCATCTGAAAATGTTGTATACATTTTATTAACCCTTTGCACTCGAGAGGTAAAACTATAAAGTTTGACATTTAATATTATACCTTGTATACTGCATCAATTTGAGAAATATTGAAATAAAATAGCTTTGTTCCTCAAGCTAGTTTCACAAAGTAACGTCTTTATCTCATCAAGAAAATAATCAAATATTTCTAGTGAAAAACTTTCGAGTGCAAAGGGTTAATTCGTTCCAATGTTTCTTCAGAGAAACACGTGGTACACACTAGTAGCGTTGCATGTATAGGTTGACTCGCATCACTTTCCAAAGAGGCCTAGGTCAATAACGTGTTAAAACAACTATTTCTCAGGTTTGTTATGGATCGGTCTGCTGGCGTGGACGATCTGGCCGTGCCACGGCGAAGAACTGAGTTGTTGCATGAACGACACGGCATCGTTGGTGTTCTCGAACTGTTCAACGGACACGAGGGCGCGGCTGCATTGCCCGTACGGTAGCTTCATGGTCGACCCGGCCATCGAGGACGATTTCACTATAATCCGCGAGAATGGCGAGAGTTGGCTGCAGCTCGCGGATCTTCGTTACCCCAGGATCCCATCGAACATGTAAGCTACCGATTTTCCTTCTTCTTTCACCACGGATTGAAATACTTCCGGAAACAACTGTTTGAAGCTATCCTATCGGTTCTGACCGAAACAGTTACAGGAAACTTATAGAAATGAAAAAGATTATATCGGATCCGTATCGGTTCTATAACTTTCCCTACATTTCGTTCGAAACCGAAAAATAGAAGCGATACAGAACCGATGCAATATCGAAGAATCGATATAATTCGGATGTAACAAATAACAGGTATGACCCTATTTCGCTGCTCCATAATTGTTTCGAGAACAGTGACCGACGCGACGAATGTTTTCAATTCCAATGAATCCAATTTCATTTAGTCCTGCACGACGTTGAATCTAATCTCAATAACTTTCGTTCTAATACAGTTACAAAATCCATACAAATTACACGCCACTTCCAACGGTGAAGTTATCGAACCTTTACGTTGATAAGTGACGAGGAATGAGAGTTATCGAATAGACTACTTTCGTCATCGTCGCGTTCCGTCGCCGTCAAAAACACATTAAAGCCGTGACATCAAAAATATTTTGTCGAGAGACAAAAATTTTCTTGGAGAAAAGCTTGTGCGTCACGAGGATACTTTATGGTATCCGATACCGGATAAAAGCGGATGAACGTCGTCGGGCCGATGCTTTCATTTTTAAAACACGCCAGACCTTCCAATAATTATAATAAAATTAGGACTGCTTCAAGTCGTTCCGACGTGATCGGTGCTTATGACGTCAATCATAAAATTTATTGCTTGATCGACGTATACTCGTGTCGCCGTGAGTCATCCCGTTTTTAAATATTGAACGATGGAAGAACTATCTAATCCTGATTCGTTAATCTACTAGATACAGCGATACAGCGATCACACCGTAACCACCGCACTCAAGTACCCAACGAATCCCTATTACGGTCGTTCACGAACGTTCCATTTACATGGAAGCAATTGAATTCGATAAAAATAAATTACGTCAATCCTTTGCGGTCGAGGATTCCTTAAAACACCGAGAACCTTTTGCATAAGAAGCTGATTTACATGCTAAACTCTGGAACGCCAGAGAACGAGGAAATATAGATTGATCTTTTGATATTTAACCGATGAAACCGTTCCCTTGGAATTTGTCATTTCAACACGTTCCCTGCTGAATTTTCCGTTCAGACCGAAAACAAATTCTCATTAAAGAACGAAGAACTTATTACGAATTTACTGTACAGTCAAATATAGGCATCTTAATGCATGCGTACTGCGTTTCTTTAATTTCATTTAATTGTAAAAGTCTCAAAACAGTCCGGCACGGAACGTATCGAATATCAAAATTTGTATTCACCGATACGTCGACATTCATCCTCGAAGGGTTAATTCTGCCACGTGCCGCGACCGCCCCAGAATACATGGGTCATGGACGTTTCGGGATTGAAACACATGGCTAGGAATAAAAAAGAATTTACAAGCGTCAAGGGGAACCGCCCTGTTTCATATTCAGGTTCTGCGTAGCGAAGCTGGAAAACTCGAGCACCGACGTCGCGTTGGTGTGCTTCGACAACGATTCCTACAGCGATCACCCGTCGATATGGCGGGAAACTTTGTTCTGCATCCTGGGCATCATATCCGCGACGTTTCTGATTGCCACGCTGGCGGTGTACGTTGTGCTGCCGGAATTGAGGGAGGTGCAAGACAAAGCTATGATGGCGGTGGTCACTTCGCTGGCGGTCGGTTACATCGTTCTGTCGATCGAGAACCTCAGGCCGCAAGAGGAGGGCGACGAGGAGTTATGCATCTCTTTAGGTGAAAACCTACGCGTCACTCTGTTCGATGAATACCTTACAGTTCGCCTCTCGCGTCTTTTGCCACGGCTGGAAAGCTAAAAGTACACAGAGGCAAGGAAAACCGGCTGCATGCTCGATCCTTCCAGGAAACGGCAGCCGACCCTCCCAGGGATTCAACGTAAACATTCAGGAAATTAACCTTTTAGCCACTGTACGCCAGCTAATTAGTTGGTTTTAAACTAAAAGCTACTAATAAGTAGTTTTAGCCGTAACTACCGAGCCTAGTGGACAGTCTCCCCTTCCTCCTGTGCACTTTTAACTTGACAGTCGCTGCTATGGACGCTAGTGGCCAATTGTAGGTTAACCCATTTATTGCCAACTACGAGATATCTCCTAGTTTGCACTGCAAGCTTACGTTACTGTTAACCCTTTGCACTCGAAGGTTTTTCACTAGAAACATTTTCTGACGAGAGAAAGACGGTATTTTGTGAAACTAACTCGAGAAGAAATCGTGCGTACGTTGAGGAACAGAGCTATTTAATTTCAATGTTCCTCGAGTCGATGAGTTGTACAAGGTACAATGTTAAATATCAAAGTTTATAGTTTCACTGTATGAAATCAGGTGGTGAGAGTCACCTCTCGAGTGCAAAAGGTTAATCATGGCGAACACATCGAAGCACGGACTAAACGATTCTATCTCTTCCTCAGGATTCCTTTTGTACTTCTCATTCATGTCTGTGTTCTTCTGGCTGAACATCGTGTCGTTCAACGTATGGAGGACAGTTTGGTAAGTAGTCAACTAAAACTTGTTCACTCTGAATCAAAGTTAGGACGTCTCAACGAACCGCGTCCAGTGATTTCACACGAATACGTTTTCACAGGTTCAAGAATTTCCGAGTTAGAGAGAAGCCGTTGTTTATAGCGTACTGCATCTACGGATGGGGTGGTTCGCTCTGTTTCCTCGTACTAGCCTTGCTGACCCATAACATCGAAGGAACACACCTGAAACCCGGTTTCGGGGAGCGGAGCTGCTGGTTCAACGGTAAGACCTACGAGTCGATTACTGTTCGTCTACTACTCGAAAACTACCGATGTGCTTGATCTTGCTAATACAGTTGGGAGATGACTCGATATCTAGCTGAAAGGTTTATGCAAGAGGCCTTCCTAATTTATAGTTATATAGTTCTGATCGGTTACGTGTGACCGCCTCAAGGAACCGTAGATTAGCGATCGAAGATATCAGAAATTGCGAAATAAAACCAATAGAAAGTTAGATGAGGCACAGTTATTCAGGGCCACGACTACGCGCTGTATAGACCTGGACTATAATGTTTCATTGTTTTATAAACTTTCATAATAATCATGAGAAAGCTTTCCACGATCGTTCTGTTTGAAATAACTTGCTGATATGCGAAATGTTTTCAAAAATTAATTCAGTTTACTGAAACTATCTATCTGATGTAGCATATTCTAAAGACATATGTAATTTTTATATGTATTCACCGCATGCAAGATATTTCAAATAAAAGTTGCTTGCTTTCTAAAAGGAAAATCATTGTAATCGGTCTTTTAAATGGTACACCTAATATTATTCTGAATTCAAATGGAGTATTAAATTTGACGTAGAAAAACTATTGCACAAAGTACGATCTACAATGGATGTTTACCGAAGTATTTTTAAGTTAACGATAAAACTAGGAAACGTACACCGGATCGCGATTATATCGGTGCCGCTTTATGTTCCAGGCCCCAAAGCAATGTGGGCGTACTTCTATGGGCCGATTTTGATTCTACTGATACTGAACGTCGTATATCTGGGTATGACTGGATGGCGTCTGTGGCATCAATGCAGCGATTACAATGGGAACAAGCTACGGGCGCTCCGGTTCAAGTGTATGCTTTACATTAAGCTGATCCTCGTGATGGGCGTCACGTGGATCTTCGAGGTGGCGTCCTACGCCGAAGGACCTAAGAAGGAGATCTGGTATTTATATGTTTTTCATTTCGTGTGGGTTATTTTTTGTTGCCGAAATACCCCACTGACGTGACTCATAAATATGAAAGCATTTTACTTTCGAGACCATGGATGAGCCGGTTCCAACAATAATTTCTGGCATCCTTTTCTCGATCGTAACCGCCGAATATTCGACGCTCTCTTTAAAGAAAATTCATCTTCAATTTCAAAATACTTTTCGAGGAGGAACGAATTCATGCAGAAACTCCAGCGTGAAACTTTAACGCGTTCCTTCGAATTCTCGTTGAAAAACGAAGAACTTTTTAAAAATTTATTATACAGTCAAATATAGGCGTCTTGATATCACGCACACTGCATTTATTTAACTTTATTTAACACTGGAACTATCGGGCGCGTCAAAATGGCCGATTCCAAATGTCTTCTACGATTACTGTAAAAGTACAGACACTTCTTTAAGAAATGTTTAAGCTGATTTAGGAATACCTAAACTGAATTACAAACCAATGGAAATCTGAATAAATTCACACTTATATAAAGAAATTTTCAAAAGAAGGTTTAAGCGCTCGGTAGTTCTAGTGTTAATTGTAAAAGTGTGGGTCGTATACGCCCCACGCGGCTTGAACGAAAGTCTAAAAGAAACGGTACAGCACGGAACGTGTAAAATTCGAATCAGCCTTCGCCGGCTTCGAAATTCGACTATTCGGAACAGCAGTTAACATCGGTGGATGGTTAACCTTGCGCCTCTTTCTCGACTTAGGATTCCCACGGACATCCTGAACGCGCTACAAGGACTCATAATATTCCTGTTGCTGGTTGCGACACGGAAACGCGTGAGGAAGCTGCTGGCACGAAAGAGACCTTGCGGCATCGCCTTTCCAAAGTCCTGGGCAGTCTACGAGGACGAGGAGTGCGAGGACGTAATGCCCGAGGAGATCGAGCTGTCGCAGCACGACTAACGTCACGCGGAATTCCCCGCGCCGCGGAATGGAGGAAAAATAAAAGAAACGGATGCTACAGTAGACGAGACTATCGCAAGTGTTTTCGACCACGGTCTACCGCAACGATCGATTTCTACTGTACCACTCATCGGAATTCACTTTTAAGCGTTCCCCCCATAACGTCGCGCTTCGGCTGATTGTCTTGTATCTATTCCCACCGTCCTGCAGCATTAAGAGCAACGAGGAGACGAGAATAATCTCGTCGCCGGCGGTGTTCGACAACAGCGTGACCTTACGGGGGGAAGTTCCTCAGCCCATTGCCGCAAACGATCATTTTACGGACTGCACTAATACATTTATTTGTTTACTCTTCAGTAGTACATTGAACAAAAATGATGTAACAACCTAGATAACATGTAAGATGATTTTGTGTACGATTTGTGATGACCTGTAGAAGTCGGAACAAATGATTAAAAGGAAAACTGCGTTTCTGGGCAGAATTTGAGAAATGTGCGGCAACGGGTGAGGGATGATTACGTACAGAAACGCACCGCTCTTCGTTCGGTACACGAGCCGAAGAGACACTACTAGACGTTAATTACCGCTGTAACGATAAAATAGGATTTCTATTCGAGCGACGCGTTACATGGGAGCGACGTCGTTCTTAGAATAACACGCGACAATCGAATACTCCTGCAGTTCGCCTAGTCTCTAACGTAAGTCGAATCGTTGAAGCCGTGTCGCTGGTACTATGAGGGTTGTCGCTCATAGTCTCGAACGTTTCATTGATCGCCGGACCGCAGATCGTTTATGCAAACGCGTATGCAAATCGCTGGAACCGCTGTTAAGCTAATTAAAACATGGAAGAGCGCTTTTCCACGAGTGGCATTCAAATCAACACGTTGACCGCCACGTCGAAATCGCTTGTTTTGCTCAAAGACGTCACGAAAAACATCGGCGTTTCGTATATACTTTCGATGTTCTTTCTGCGGCGAGAAGATAAAAAGGAAGAATCGTTGATTACTCGATATCACAATTCTTACGTTACATCGAGTTATTTACGCCGCTGAACATTTGTGTCCGACATCGGTTATCTTATTAGCAATCATTATTTTCTCGTAATTTCGAAGCCCCGGTCACCGATAACCATCGCGGCGCTGCAAACGAAACAATCTGCTAATTTAACTAAGATCATCGTGGCGGTCGACGCGTTAACGGGATGCATTTCGCGGAAACTTCGAGGGGAGGATCGTAAAGCTCGTGTTTTCGGCGGTTCCAGCATGAAATTTCGATTCGCCGTAGAATTCAACGCGCACGACGGGCGCATAAAAGTCTGCCGTCTAATTAATCGTCCATTGTGTTTACCTTTAAGAATCTCCGCCGCGCGTCGTCGCGACGAGGCGACGGAAGAACGTGCGATCGCGTCGGACCAATCCCGCCATCCGGATCGTCCTCGCGTGTTTCCGCCGACTCATCGCGATGAATCCGCGCGAATCATTTTCCATTTTATTTCCGCCGGCAAGTTACGTGCGCGGGAACATTCAATTCTAGTCGATTCGACGCGACACGTCGATTAGCCGTAGTGTCCGACGTCTTTTCGCTGTAAAAGTGGGACCCGCGGCTTCCTCGCGCGCGTTCCCTCGATTTCGCGACGTCGAAATCTTCCGCGTTCCAACGGAGCCGCTTTCGAAAATTGTTTGCCGGGAACGGAGCATGACGGAATCTCTCGATTTCGGTTGGAAAGGATCGGCGAACGTTTCTGTCGCGAAAACGTCGATCGGGGGCAGGCACGTCGAGCTCGAACGCGAAATGTCGGTTAATTCACGGAGGCTATCGAAGTCCTGAATTCCAGAACGGCAGATGCCCGATTTTTAAACGCTTGCCTTACGATCACGTGCCGGACTCGCGGTGAATACGTTCAACAGAGTTTAACAAACAGACATTGCTCCATTCTTTTGAATTCGAGTTAAATATTATTCTCTTATTACCGATTATTCTATTATAGACCCTAACTCTATAGGGATAGAATATGTCTGGAATTTGTCTCTCTTTTCTAATAAATCATTAACAACAAAGTAATTGTGCCGATTATAGGGCAAGGGGTCAACGTTGTTCACGCGAATCATCGATGTGACCAACTTGCTCGGACCTGTTCGATAACATCAAAAATGCATAACGTCTTTGTCCCGTCAAAAAATGGTAAATATTTTTAATGAGGAACTTCCGAGTGCGAAGGGTTAATTTTCTAATCGTTACTGGGAAAATCGAAGATGTCTTTTGACAGCTCGATAGAAATAGCGTCAAAAATGGAAATCGAAGAATATCGTCTTTGTCCCGTAAAAAAATAAATATTTTTTACGAGGAACTTCCGAGTGCAATGGGTTAATTGCCTGATCGGTATTGAAGAAATCGACAAGTCAATTCAGGATATACGACTAAACATGGAGAAGAATTTTAATTGAACATTTCGGAAAATGTCTTCCAACAGCTCGGTAGAGATAGTGTTAAAAATAGAAGTCCACTGGTGAGGATATTTCAATGGGAACGCGGCACTTTGAAGTGCTTTCAAGGTACACACGGTCGACTGTAGTGTCCGGCCACACGGAGCATCCCCTTAGGAGATGCTAAGGTTAAATGCACCGCGTCGAGGCTAACAACTCGAGTCTTCCCATTCCGACCGTGAACGAAGTCCACGGTCCGCTAATGAGGGACGCCGCGGCTCTCTGGTCCGCGTAGTCAGCGTTACGGTGATTAACCCATTCCCGCAGAATGACGAGTTAGACTCGCGGTGCATTATTACAGTGCATTAAACACCGCGTCCAATGTTGCCGAATACACATCCTCGCTTGTGTCAGCGTACAGTCATTTCACGCGAACGGCAATTATTTCAGTACACGAACGGAGCTGCGATTGCTTTGGAACAATAGAGACACAATGTCCTTTTATTCTTCCTTCTACGAGACAGAAAAACTTTGTTTCCCTGTTTCGCCGCTGACAAGTCAGCAATTTCCGACGGTTTTCCCTGAGACTGCTAACGACAAGTTTGCGGAATGAATATTAGGAAACGCATTCCCGAAACTATTATCTTCTTCATTTTCCGTATTTCCCACCGTGAAGTCCATTCGGCGTTCGACGCGCTGACGCTAAGTTTACGGGCACTTGTACGATTTCTTCCATTGATCTTGGGAAAATTTATGTTCGGTTAGAGTTTGGAAATTGGAGGTTCAACCCCTTGCCCTATGACTTCTTTCTCAGTTCTCAGAGACGTTTTATTGTTCATACTTGAGTAGAAAAAGAGAAAAACTCAGAAGCATTGCAATTAATAATAGAAAAATAATATTCAGTTCGGACTTTGAAGAATTAAGTGACATTTACATTTGTTAAATTCTATTCGAAATCATCGCCACGAGTCCGACTTGAACTGACTTTTTAAAATTTCTTTGTGAAAGCCACAAGCGTGTAGTTATTAAGATTTCAATTGGCTTATATGTCAAGTTATGTGTTACTAAATCAGTTTCCCTAATAATTTCTCAAACAAGTATCTGTGCCTTTTCAATAATTATAAAAGAAGAAATCGGGAATGGATCGTTTTGACCTGTCTGGTAGTTCTAGTGTTAAAGACAGATAATTAGCGAACCTTTCCGTGTAATTACGTCGATGGAAATCGACGTTTACCAAATGAGGTTTACGAAATTTCATAGGCGTCGAGTTGACGCGTCCAGGAAGCATGTTATTGCTTCTGTTTATAGGGCCCAAATTTTAAAAGCCTCCGAAAAAAACTGTTGGAAATGCAATATGAAATAGTAGACAAATTTAAACAAAAAGTTCAAATGTGGCTCGAAGTCACATCGTGGTCCGATTATGGTTAAGCGGAAATTTAATTTGAAGATACTGCATCGATAACAGCAAAATAGTTTTTCGCTTAGATCCGTGGGTAACGAACAACATTGGTTTTCGTTAAATTAACCGTTCGGCTGCTGACGGATTTTTTCGGACATACGCCAAAACTGCGGCACTAATTGCGCGTGTATGGGAAAAAACGAGAAACACTTTTCATACAATAAACTCACTTATATTGCATTGTGACAACAAAAAATTTTTAAAATACCATTTATTTACTTAAATTTGTTTCAATTCATTTTGTGGATAAAATTAGTAAAAAGCACTTATAATTCGCTCAAATTAACACAAGTAATTTTTTATGATCCTTTACACGAGTGGTTTGCTATATAAAGCGCGTGAATTCCCCTTTTACAAATAGAGCAAATCACGTTCTTCGCAATTTTGGCGAAACATAAGAGCGACAGCGCTCCTCAGCAGTCAAACGGTTAATCGAGAAATCTTCGTTACGAGTCTCACTCGTCATTGTATGGCAAGGGGTTAACGAAAACGGGTGAAACAAGAGGAACAGCTCTGGAAGAGGAAGGGAATCGCGTGCTCGTGTTGCCGTGAGTAACGTCCGGCAGGAGCTTCGCGACGGCCACACAACGATGATGCGTTCCTATTGTGTGGGCGACAGTGTGGGACGCTCGGTGCATCAGCAACGCGTCGCTGATCGATATTTCAGTAACGCGATGCGCGTCGCAGCGCGAAACATTCTGGGTAGAAACGTGACTCACGATCAGCTAGGGAACGGAGTTTGTAGATCGGTGATTAACACGTTAAATGGTATGTCAGTCACCGACGTCTGATGCTCCGGAGTTACTTGAAAACAATTATCACGTGCAAAGTAATCGATGTCGAATCAAAATGTTTAACACATCGACTGCCACGAGAATTTCTAGCGTTTTGGATAGTAATACTTATCCTTTAATAACAAAGGCAAATGATATTGAAAATAATTATTAATGATTCAATATTATATTAGTCGTATTACACTATGATCTAGCTACGTATGTTACTAAATATTTTTATCTAAAATCAAGTTTGTTCTTGTAATTGTTCTTCAGCAATTTGGAAGCTGAAAATGAAAATAATGGAATATCAACTTATGTAATTGAATTGCGTTGCTATTATTGCAGGTCCGAATTGTTGAATAGAAAAGTTTTCAAATAATCATCGTTTAGTCGAATGAATTATAGTGATTCGATTTGGTTGAGGTCACCGGTGACCCCCATCACATTCAACGTGTTAACAAGTTGATAACAGTGTACTGGAAAGATCGTAACGTCAAATAGTGAATAACTGTTGCTACTTCTCTTTGCTAAGAAGGATAACTGTATAGAAAAATGGGCAAGATTTTCGTGGCGCTCAACGTGTTAACGATTTCATTTGGGAAAGAGAACCGTCCGGAACGAATCCATAAGCAACAATGCTCTCCATCGTTCTGGCTTCTTCTGGAAACGTATTTAAAAATTCGATTATTAGTTTACGCGCCGGTCGTGGGAGTTTGAATTTCTTGTAAAGGAAAATGATTATGAGTCTTGAGATTAGACGATGCATGTACAGTTAGGAACAAAAGTATTGGCACACCTGACTCTTCGTTATAGAAACGCATATAAATCGAAGAAAAAACCCAGGACTAGGTTAATTCTTTTTATTAATTATAACTATTAGGTTTATAGTTTGAGAATATTCCAAATCTATATATATATTGCATTTCATTATTCTTTTCTGTTTTGCAATAAATTAGTATAAATATATTTGTAATATTCTCAAACTATAAACCTAATAGTTATAATTAATAAAAAGAATTAACCTAATCCTGGGTTTTTTCTTCGATTTATATGCGTTTCTATAATGAAGAGCCATGCGCCAATACTTTTCTTCCTAACTGTATATACGTTTTTATAACATTGTAAATATTCAAGTGTATTTAAATAATCTTGCAGACGATCGACGCACTCGCGATGCAATTCCGCGGATATTTTTGAATTTGTTATTTACAAATTTATCTCGCAACTTCGTTTTCGATCGAGGAAACAGGAGTGCTGCGAGCGATCGCCAACGTCGACGATAATTCGTTAACACTGTAATCCAACAGAGATTCGTTCAATCTGTTGGAGGTTTTGTTTCATTGTAAATAAAGTGAATAAACCTATGGATCTTTCGTTATACTCGACTTCAAACAAATGTGACTTTGTTAATTACTCGTGCAAGTTGAAATTTTTACCATTCTCGGTAGTAATATTTAACATCGACTTTACGTTGATTTGTAACTAGTTCGTTTTAGTGCGAAACAGTAGTAATATAGTAAAACAAATGTGACTCGTTAATTATTCGTGCAAGTTGAAATTTTTACCATTCTCGGTAGTAATATCTGAAATCGACCGTACATTGATCAGTAATCTGGTTTGTTTTAGTGTTGTCTCAAGTTTTTATAGAATTAATACGTTAAATGATATGACCGAGTTCAAAATAGTTTATCTAGAGAATATTCATTAGCGTCCGATTTTTTTTTGTGATAGATGATTTTGTCAATGACTAATCGAGAAGCCGAGAAATAAAGAAATAAGAAACGAGATGTTTCAAGGACAAATTAATCACATAACATGCACGTGAATGATTTGCTGCGTAATCGTATGTAAATAAAAAATCGGTGACGAATCATTGGGACATATTTGCAACACATGTGTGATTAGGTAGTGCTACTTTGATTTTTGCCGAGAACGTGACATGTTACGGCCGATTTCGTTGTGAATGTATATAATCTAAAATTCATCGTCGTTTAAGTACAATATATTTCCAATCGCGTACATATATTTCAAGTGTAAGTACTATGTTATTTAGGAACAGTTTTCTAGACGTTAAGAATCCTAACCTAACAATCGAAAAACAGGGCCCCTTTCGATAAACTACCAACAGAAATAAATATATTAAACTATCCATAATTAGCAAACAATTATTATCATTGGATTGCGAACGACACGTATTTAAATCGTACGCAAAATAAAAACTTTCATAATGATGAATACAGTTGTTCACCTTCTCCCGCGAAAAATGGAAACATCTAGCTGCGATACTGACATTTACTCATGAATCTCATAAATCAATGAATGCAATGATCTGTGTCTACAGATACCCGTAGTTTAACAAGTTATGCGCCACGAAAATCTTGACCGTTAGAGTTATTCTTTTGTAGGAAAAGAAAGCAGGAATAATTATTAATTATCGTGTCAAACTCGCGAAGAATATTTTAAACTGAATTTGAGAAATCTGTTATTTATTGTTTCTGGAAATAAATTGAATGTTACTTTTCTCTTATCAATCGTTAACCTTTGGGGCAAACGTAGGCGTGGAATAAGCATAACATTATTTTCATTTCCTAATCAATTATTAATGATGAAATAATTGCATCCATCATAGTTATGAAATAAATCATAATTGAGCAAAAATTTATTTCATTGAGCAAAATACCCAAATTGAAAAAATATAATATTAAATCAATCCGATTGAATTGCATTATTATTATTGCATGTTCGTCTAGCTGAACATCGCCGCATTAGGTAGCATTATTCACAATATACAAGTTTTTCCAAATAATCATAATTTAACTGAGTAAACTATAATAATTCGATTTGCTTGGGGGTCACCGGTGACCCCCATGGCATTGAAAGTGTCAACCATTTTCAACTGTTTTCAAATAATTCGGAACCGTCAATCGATGACCGACACGGCGCTTAACGTGTTAATTGAAATAAGTAAAAATTCATTTACCGTTCATGATTTATCATTATCCGTCATTCGAAACGCGACTCATCGACCACGAACACAACAACGCCGTTCGCGCCGCTTTCCTTCCAAGCACAGACGTAATCCTGTTTAACGTCTCCTCGCTCGGCTCGAGTTTCATATTATGTGCTTATCCGGTCTCCGCTTGCCTTAAAATAACCATACTATTCATTCACTCATGAACACACTCTCTCCCCGAGCGAATTAAATGTACACGATTCTAAAACCATTCATTGACTCTGCAACGCAGGCAAACTATACGAGCCAAAGTTACCTGAGAAGAGTCAAGAATCCCGACTCATTGGTCGGTAACCAATAGGGAGACAACACAGATTGGCGCAAAGTAAACGAAAAAGGTGAGGACGAGTCGCTGGAGACACGCTCGAGGTAGGGGGAACTGATGATGAGACATCCTCGGAAGGAGTAGCGGAGAAAGAGAGGAAACAACTACGTCGGCGAGCAAGAAACAACGAGAAAAGGAGGGATGGAGAGAGCGCGGGAAAGAGAAAGAGAGACAGAGAACGAGAGGAGAGGGGAGCAAAAAGACAGTGCAACAGAGAATGGGATTGGGAATGGATGCGATGGCGGCCGGGTATGGGCAGGGGTAGGTCTTACTAGGCGGGCAACCCGCTGGCGGCATTGGCAGGTATGGCGATGAACACACGGGAAGTCCGTTGGTCGCGTCGCAATGAATAAGTGAATCTACCGCTCTCGAGGTAGCCCGTGGCCGTCACGAAATCGATCAGTAAATGGTAAAAGGGTCCCGGGGGGGCCGCGAGTAGAGAAAGAGAGAGTGGTTTTGAAACGCGCGACCCAATGCGCGGAACGTGTGCGGTAGGAACGCGAAAGGTGCCGATTCGATGACATGCATTGTCTCGCGAGCGTGGTGCTTGTGATCGCGATCAGTTCACTCGGCATAAATGATCCGCGGATGACAGCGGTCGCCTCCGCCGACGTTAAGACAAGCTTGATCAGCATCGCGAAGTGTTGCGAGCCTGAGGAGGTGCTCGTAGACGACACGTGCACGCCATTGACGGAGACGAACGAGACGCGATGGCAGCCGGAATTCGTCGAGGAGAAGGTGAACGGTATCTCGAGGAGCAGACAGGTCGAGCCTAACTATGAATTGAAAATCGGCCGGCCAAAGTGTCAGTCGAACGAGCATCAATGGGTCGTGTACGACTCGCGCGAGGATCGATTGGCGATATTGACCACCGGCGTGCTGCGTCATTATACCACTGATTTGAGTAAACGGTCTAATGAAAATGGAGGTGTTTACGGCTACGGACCGGTTAGCCTGGCCGACGAGGATGACTTCAATACAGTGTCGATTCATTATGATTACTCGTTCGGACACTACTGCGCTGATAAGGTGGTTTTGAGCAGGGACCGATTGGTGGTCACGTACGCTATGATATGCGTACCCGATGTAGTCATTGGATGGACCGACACGAATTATTTGATGAAACATGCCATTGATCCTGCTTTCCACGCGATATCGATAGCCAGCTACCTGGTCGTCGCAGTGGTCTATTTTGTTCTGCCGCAGTTGCGTGATCTCGTGGGGAACATGATAACCAGCATGACTCTGTGCCTCATTGCCGGTCAGTGCGCTTCCGCGGTACGAATATTCACCGAATTCGGCAATCACATTAGTTTCATGGTCGCCGGTACGAGATATGAAATATTTTTAGCTTTGACATGTACGCATAGGGGAATCCCCGTGTAACACGTTGTTAGTACTAAGAGATGCGTTCGCGGAATTAACACTAGACGGAACGCGCCAATTTGATTCATACTGAATTTTATAAACATTATTTGGTAAATGCTTGGGTCGATTTTCATTGACTCAATTACGTGATTATGGTTCCTAATGATACATTTTTAAACATTTCATTTCCTAAATATAAACGGACGAACATCAATCTTTCTGAGAATAGAATAAACTGTACAATAAATGTCCATGAATCTAGTGTTAGTTATATTTTATAAATATCTTAAGATGGTATTTATTGAAACTACTAAATTAATCAGTGTTAAATAATAACACTGATTTGTTTTTATCTGTTAACCCTTTGCACTAGAGAGGTGACTCACACTCACCACTTGATTTCATACAGTAAAACTATAAAATTTGGTATTTAACATTATACCTTGTATAATTCATTAATTTGAGAAATATTGAAATAAAATAGCTTTGTTCCTCAATATACATGTGATTTCTCATCAAGTTAGTTTCACAAAATATCATCTTTATCTCATCGGAAAATGTTCAAATATTTCTAGTGAAAAACTTCAGAGTACAAAGGGTTAATATATGTAACAACTTAGTTCCACATTTTGTACTACATTTTTGTTTCATATAAAACAAATTTTAAAAATGTAATTAACGTGTTACATGGGGACTATGTGTATACCTGTATCACGCATGAGTTATGCTTCCAATGTTTACGTATTTTTCAGATACTGTAATGTATGTCTCACTACTAGCTGCATTTTTCTGGCTCAATGCGTTGGGTTATTACGTATGGAGTACCTTCCGCTCACGGAATGTGTTCTTAAGAGTCACTGATGGCAGGAAATATTGTTACTATTCGTCGTACGTTTGGGGATCAACGGTTTGTATAGCGGGTACTGCGATCTTCGCACACTTCGCTTTAGAGACCAGCAGACCCACGATTGGCGGGAGTGTTTATCCACCTCAAGAAACAATCGGTTGGCTCGGTGTCTCTGTCTTATTTACATCAATCGCCCTTACGATATTGGTCGACCTAAGTTTTGCATTGACCACGGCAAACAGGATCAAACGAATGAGCACGTACGGTCGAATTCACCACAAAATGAAGTACAGTTTCAGAATGTTCGTTTTTCTATTCGCTTTGATGAGCGTCGGTTGGCTGTCATTGTTATTTTCACGACTCAATTACGACGCGCTCGTATATTGTCATATCGTCATTAATTTGCTACAGGCAATATCAATACTATACGTTTGCGTTTTCGGGCAGAAACGAGTTACATTTTTGCTAAGTAAAACATGTAACTGTTGCAACTCGGTGGAAAATATCGACGGTCTTGACTGGGGGGAAGAAATGACTGCCATTAACGCGGGATATTGAGACCCGTTTAATTTCGTTTCTCATGTTCGGCGGTTAAAACGAGGAAAAAGTTTAGTTAAAACTAAACGTGTCTCTTGAAGTATACAAAATATATTACAAAAAACAGAACACTCGACTCTCGTTTAATAATAATTATTAAATGAAATTAATTTAAATATGAATTTTGCTTAACGGTTTCTTTATGTTTCCAAATCGATAAAAAATATCAGTTGTTCTGCTTTTTGTAAGTCACTGTACGTGATTCTAAAATCATTCACATCTCGCGTCATACGAGTATAAAACAAAACATATCATAGGTCATGTAAACAGTATTAAGTATACAATGATCTAAATGACCAAGTGATCTATCAAAATAGACAATGTTGTTCTAATGTAAATGACAACAGAGTAGATTATGATGTTGTATATAATATTTATCTGTAGAGTTAAAGAAATTGACGAAATAGAATCATTTAAACAAAATATGATATAATGAACTTTTCAGTTACTTTAAAACTTTACTGTTTATGGTGGTATGTGCCTTAAAAGAAAAATGTCTTTGCCTTATGGAACTGTGCACTTATTATGAAAATAATAAATTCATAATATAAAATACACATACGTAACAATTCACAAATATTATTATAAAATCTAATAATAATATTATCATCTTAACACTCTTATGATTCAAAATAATTCATGTAGTATTTATATTGTATAGGTATGTAACTTTTGTACAAACAATGCATCATCTCTTATAAAGTACATCCTTCTGTCATTTACATTTGTTTTTATTTCTAAAAAAAAACATAATGTAACTTACCTGTCCAAATAATCCACCTTCAGGACGGTCTAATAACTTTGATAACTGACACCGCACTACCAAATGACAATCGTCCATCACAGTATTGAAGAAACGCCTAGTTGGTAACAGAGCTTCCAAATCTATTACTAGTTCAAGGAATCTTTCGCAGTACCGTACTTTATCTGGTAAAAGTGGTCCTGTTAAAAAATAAGTAATCAATTGAAATAGTTCAATAAAATATTAACTTAAATTGTACATAGCTGAATACAATAGCTGTTGAATACAGTAAACAACTACTACTATTCCACTATGTAGAGATGTCAAGTTCTAAATGCTTTACCTTCTTCCGAAATTGTTTCCAAAATTGTCATAAATTTGATCATTAATCTATGTAGAAATTTCCTCTCCCATTCCAACTTCTCTTTAAGTTCTGGATTGTCTTTTTTCCTTAAAATTTTCCAATATTTTCTCCACTTTGGATATTTTCTAAATTCTAATTCTCTACGACCTTGTTGTAGTGAGATCCACATGGACAACGAGACTAATCTTTTTACTTCTTCTCGAACTAATAATACTTCCATAGAATTAAAACAATGATTCAAAAATACAATCAGAGCTGTCTGTTCTTTTAAATCAAAATCCATTATACTATCTTCAAGACAGGCTTCTAAAACATTTTGGAAGAACTCTGGGAAATGTTCTGGATTCTTCTCAAACGCTTCCCAAACCTGAACACGTTCACGAAATTTTTCATTGACCATAACAACAATGGACATGGTATGAGCACGAGTTGCATTGCTTGCATTATAATTTGGCCATAAAAAGTTCTCTAAATATTGACTGAATTCTAACATCATGATTCTTCGAATAGAGAACTTCGATGCACATATTTCTTGCACATAAATGTCCTCTACTATTTGAGGATTGAAAGGGAGATGCGAATCTGTTGTATGAGGTGCCCAATATTTATTTGCAAGCTGCAAGAAAAATACAATGTTAATACTCTTGCAGTAATATACAATAAAATAACATATTTATTGAAAAGTACCTGAGTTATTCGATCAGCATTAATCTGCTCAACTGTAGGAGCAGGATTATTACTTTTAACAGCTGTACCGTTTTGATTTTCCATGTTGACTTATTAATCTCTCACTGTTCACAACATAACCTAAGTTAATTCAAGTGCCGTGAGTGTTAAGCTTAGAAATTAAGTACTGTGATATGAATAACACAATTAACATAATGTTTGACTACGCATTTGCGCAAAAGTATATTTACAGTTATCTAATGTCACTCATTTCACTGAATTTTCTACATAAATTTGTATTAATCACCTTTATAGTTTATAAACTTCTAACGACGCATGGCTTTATACACCACTACATTTTTGTAGTAAATGTCGAAGGTTACTGATTGGTCATAACAATACTCCAATCACTTTCATTGGATAAGAAGAAAACCAATTTATGAACACGTGTATTAGGTTTGTTTCTTTATTTTTTTAATTAGTACCTGTGTGTATTGTTGTCGATTGTTGTTTAGTAATTTAATTGGTATGTATAATATTATCAATTATTGATTTCTCATAATGTATAAAAAGAGAATAGGAATGCTTATGCTTTTCTTCATTCTCATGTACACTTCCTTTATTTCGCGCTTCTTTGCTTTGTAATACAATTCAAAGATCAACCACTTTTTAGAAACGTGGTTGACAAGAGCACACGTTTAACTTAAACATAGTGTCATATTATTTTATCTTTATCAATATAATATCAAAATTTATTTGTATTCTTTAATCGTCAAAACCATATCGGTACATATATATAAATTTAATTCATTTCATAAACGTGTTTTGAAAAGGTGCATTCGTTTTCACATTTCTATAGTATATGAACTTAAAATTAATGTGTAAATAATAAAAGAAAATTCTAGTAACATTATAAAAAAATAATCATTGAATAAATACATTTAAGTACAATGTCAAAGTCAAGAAAAACTAAAACACGACGTGATAGTGAATCATTGGATGTTAATACTAAGAGAATGAAAATGTCAAATGAAGATGACAAAGACACAGAAAATAGTATTGCACTTAAAGTAGATGTAACAGTTATAGATATTCCTGAACAATTGTTAACATTAGAACGTAACTTGGCTACAGAGCTAGGAAAAATTACTTTTCGTGGACCTGTAGAATATGTTTATAGCCCTCTTGAATATGCATTTAATATACATACTATGTATGTTAAAAAATATTGTTCCACTACGAAAAAAATCTTATTTCTTGGAATGAACCCTGGTCCTTGGGGTATGTCTCAAACTGGTGTTCCATTCGGAGAAATACGTATGGTTCGTGATTGGTTAAAGATTTGTGGGCCAGTTGGAAAACCTGCTAAAGAACAGCCAGATAGAAAAGTGACTGGATTTCAATGTACACGCAGTGAAATTAGTGGAAAAAGATTGTGGGGACTTTTTCAAGAACTGTGTGGAAATCCAGAAAACTTTTTTGAACATGCATATATACACAATTATTGTCCTATTGCGTTAATGGATAAAAAAGGACGCAATATTACACCAGCAGAAATAAAGGTAATATTATCCTTAACATAAATCATATTAATGTATTAAATGTTTTATATTTTTAGGGAGGTGAAATACAAAAGATACATTCCGCTTGTGATAAAGTTTTGGCAGATACAATTCGACTGCTGAAGATTGAAATTCTTGTTGGTATTGGTGGGTACGCAGAAAAACGTGCACAACTTGTAGTGCAATCTTCCAAATTGCCTACTAAGGTAAACATAAATATTAACCATTTAAATTATTTAATAACATTTATTGTTTTTGTCATTGTAATATATAATAATAAATGAAACTATGTATAGGTTCTATGTTTACCTCATCCAAGTCCAAGGGCTGCAAACAATAAAAATTGGAGTGAAAAGGCAACAAAAAAACTAAGTGAGTTGGGACTACTTGAGTACTTTACCAGTTAAACGAGATATTTTTACAAAGCAAGTTTCAATTGTACCACTGTGGTTTAAGTTTTAAAGTTGTTTTATATTTTTTTATTGATAAAATAATATTTTTTTGTGTGTTCTAATTTTTCTAATATTTAAAAAAGCATTAAAAATTTATAAGTATCATATCATAAAGAAACATGACAGACATTTTGGACTGGATGGATGTTGCATTGAAAAAAGCAAGCGATTCATTAAAAGCAGGGGAAGTTCCAGTTGGGTGTTTGTTTGTATATAATAATGAAGTCATTGCTATAGGTAACAATACTGTTAATGAAACACATAATGCAACCAGACACGCTGAGATAAATTGCATAGATCAAGTTTTAGAGTTCTGTAAAAATAGAGAATTGGACTGTAAGGAGGTTTTTACTAATATTGATGTTATAGTTACTGTAGAACCATGTATTATGTGTACTTCAGCATTATATCAGCTACACGTACGTAATATTGTGTATGGTTGTGCAAATGATCGTTTTGGAGGATGCATTAGTGTTTTTGAGGTATCTAAAATCTATAATTCAGGAACAAAAATAGTGGGTGGTGTTAAGAGTGATCTAGCAATGGCTTTGTTGAAAGAATTTTACAAAGGTACAAATCCAAATGCACCTAAATTGAAAATAAAAAAAGATCGCAAAACAAAAAAAAGTGATGATCCAGAAAGTTCATAAATTTGAAATAATTTTCACTTCCTTTTATTAAACTTCAGTAAATGAAAAAAGAATTATAATTTTTATTTTGATGCATAATAAATAGTGTGACACATAAATAATAAATAAAACGAGAAAAACTTCTTTTTTAATAAAATATTCTGCGCATAAAAATATGTAACATATAAGTTGATGTACACTGCCAGGAATGTATATTAATATATGTTATCATATCACTAAATGTACCTAATATATAAATTTATTTCATATTTATAAGTATTTAAAAACATTTATAATAAATTGATATAAATATGTTCTAGCTTAGAAGTACTTATGAACACCATGAGTGGTCTATCTCGCATTTTCCTTGATACCACCTAACTAATAATTGATTTCTTAATGTGTAATCCTTTAACACCATACCTTTCGTCTGAAAGTAATAATTCGTGTAATGAAGGAATTAAGTAGAAATGGTATGCTTCAGAAGAAAACTTACTATTGGTGGAGGAAAAACTCTCTGAAAGTCCATTTTATTTTGATGTTCAAGATAGCTTTGAGACAAGATGAGTTTAGTTTCAGTTGTAAAACATGGTCTACAAAGTTGACATTCTACACGGAAACAATCATTACATTCTGCACAAAGTTTTGGGAGAACTACTAAGTTTTTATCGGCTACCATCATTTCATCCTCCATCTTACTTCTGAAATAAAAAGATAAGTTTATGATCACTTCTGACTTAACTTTATATTAATTTTATTCTTATAATCACCTTATCTTTAGAGAATCTTTCTTGACTCTTTGCCCCACACCTACTAAAGCAAACATATTATACACAACTTGCTCATAAAGCAACTGATTCGGTGGATAATGGGCAGAAGATAAGTTCGGTGACATATTGGCTTCCATGGTGTACACATTCAGATTTTCATCAAGAGCAAAATCGAATCTAACCAGTTCAAAGAAATTTCTTCCGTTTCCATAATATTTCATAGCTTCCTTGATATAACTTTCCTTTGACAAGATTATTTCTTTTATCGCTTCGTGTACACCATTCCATACTTTCTGCGGGTCGTACCCCTGTGATCTTACATAAGCATCGAATGATTCCTTCATTGAAAATCCTAACTTAGTGTAATATTGTTTCAAAGAAGGAACATTCCATATTGGCAAATAATCATCCCCAACTACATACTTGTCTAATACTTCTGGATCAAATGGATAATACTTGATAGGGCAGAACCTAAATAGAACGTCACCTTTGTACGCATATACTCTAAGGGGATCAATTGAAGTAATTACAGTATACACTCCAATATCAAACTTGTAACCATCAACAAGAAATGGTTGCTGTATAAATTCTTGTACGAATGATCCAGTTACTGTCAAGTTTATGTCGCTTGTATTTTTCACTCTTATGCCGCGATGATCATTAGATTTCTCCACAAAAGTTTTCTCAGGATGCTCATTAGCATATTTTAAAAACTCATCCCGCTGTTCCGGTAGCTTAAACGCTGGAAGGATGTGCCGACCTTCTGTTGTAGACAAATCTACCTTGTTTGTAATGTATCCACAACCGGGAAAATGATTAACACGTTGATGGTCTTCTAATTTGCTTAAGTTGGACGATAAAATTCTGAATGGATAGTCATGGGCCCATAGTAAGTCCCAGTTTGAATCATTGTCGGTTCGTTTAAAACCCAACCGGTCTAGTACAATGAAAACATGCTTCAAGTATCCAGTGTCCTTGTTTCTTGTGTATATCCTGTATATTGGTCTCTTTTCTTCTATCTTTATTATTTTCGTCTGTATTGTTATTAAGCTTTCCTGATAATGTAGAAAGGCGAAAAAGAGACAATATAAAATTATTGGACCTACTATAGAGTATAGAAAGATTTTCAGCAGCGTTTTTACTTTCAAACTCATAATTTGGGTGTAGACTATATGATCGGCATCCTGCAATGTTAAATAAATCATTTAAAACGTTCGCTCGATTAATAGATATTTAATAATAAAATGAATATTTATTGAATACTACGAACCACTTTTTTATCTTCTTTTTTCTGTTTCTTCTCATCGGACATGATAGAACATACAATTCTAGTATCATTTGTCGATGCACCTGCGACTGAGTGCAGAGTAGTTGTGTTTAAAACGCTAAGTCGTAGTCAACGAAAGTACCGTTGTAATTACCCCCGCTATGTCGATCGCCTCTTAAGTAGGACATACGTACTGGAACCGGTTCTTATTCATAGATCATCTACTATAATTCTATTTTTCCAATACTTTATCGAAATACTTGAAAATAATTGTTAGAAAAATATAAATCCTAGTATATTCTTTTAGTTATGCATAATTAAAATTATTGTACTCAGTGACGTAGTCCGATTTTTGCAATACAACCTTGGCACATCTGTAAACGTTGTATTTTATAAATTTTATAATATAAATATCTTCTAATATATTTTCTTAGGCTTCTAATTAGAAATATAATAGGCTGTACTATCAATATCCTAAATCTATAGACATTATATATTGGTATATTCACGGTTATTAATAAGTTGTTACAGCCAATTACCACTAATAAATTTGAATAGAACGTTATGATATTAAATATGAAAAATCATAAAACGAATTCAAATTTGAAAACATTTAAAAATTGGCGGAAATAGCATACAGCGCGCCGCTGCGCAAACAACACAGTGTACACTAATGGCGTTTCCTGTCTTTTACGTTGTTGAATTGGTACAACGAGGATCTCTTTGAAGAAGAAATGGGTTTTCAAAACATTTGGTACTCGCATCCGCGAAAATATGGACAAGGATCTAGATCCTGGTAAGTACTATCGCACTTTACATTTATTATATAATGAATTTGTACATTTATGTCAATAAGATACATGTAACATATTCGACCGCGTGTTGCCGTCACTTACGTTTATCTAATAACAATGTATAATAATTAAAAATCTGCTGAAATGATTGCAAAAATAAAAATTGCTATTTGTTTATGACAAAAAGTTATATCTGTATATTGGTTAATTTATCTTAAAATCGAAAAATGAGTTCTGCGTGTTAGCAATCATAACCTAAAAGTTGTGTTATTGTGGATCTGGTTATCAATGCTACTAGCACACTGTTAATTTTTCACTTTTTCTATGTGCCCTTAATTACAAATATGATTAAAATAAATTAATTTGTTTTGCAGTCGTGCGTGCGCTAATAGGCACGGATTGATTCGCAAATATGGTTTAAATATTTGCAGGCAGTGTTTCAGAGAATATGCTGCTGACATTGGCTTCAAAAAGGTATATTACCGCATCATTCATTTTATTTTGTAACGCTTTCTTAAACCCTTTGAACTGAAATGACAAGTATCACTTGCACCTGCTCTCTGTGTGAAACTGATTTTCGCAAATTATTTTACAAATATGCTGCATCGTAACTAAAACAATTTTTTTATTTTCATAAATAAATTTAATTAAGCTTTAATAGTTAAATTTTCTTTAAAATAGTCATGTCCACCAGATTGCAATAAAATTAAATTTGATTCCAAATAAATCATGTGGCAAGGGGTTAATCTGAACATGCTTTAAATATATTTGTATATGTTGTGATTAATATATTTTTTTTATATTTGCAGCTGGATTGATACAGAAACAATATAGTTGTTAACATTTCCTGAAGAACTAAATTCAAATTTCATACATGGAATAAAAACAAATTGGAATTGAAAAACAACAAACAAAAATTTCAGAAAAAATGTCAGGTTTATGTTAAATATACATTAACCAAATAAATTGTAAAACAGAAATAAGTTGTATTGTATTTAACTCAGTCATGAATTAAAAGGAAATTTAATTTTATTTATATTACTTGTCTTTTAATTATATTTCAAACGCTTATGGCTTATCCCATTCATAATCGAGAAATACGTAAATTGTGTACCTTTACGATCTAACCTCTCATCATTCTTACCAACCGAAGATTGGTAAGAAAAACGCTGCGCTGAAAGTGAATCCCCTCATTTTAACACTTGAAGATCTGTTGAACGCATTTTTGTACTGAATTTTCAAGGAAGAATAATAGTGAATAGACGATTGATCTATAATTATGTGTATCTGATTACAATTTTATAATGTTTATGCTACAGTGATTATTTTCGTATTACGCACCGTGCAAAGAGAATCACATTCCGAGACTTTTCTGAGATACATAAGTAAGTAATAATATTCAAATTGTAAAGAATATTGTTGGAAACTAGATAATCTAATCAGTTTATAATATTAAAATTGCCACATTTTACTGCAATTGCAAAGTATGTTTTATCGGTAAACAAAAGTGTATAGGTTTTGATGAATAAGATAAAATTTATTTTTTTTTTATGTTCACACGAATAAAAACAGAAAAATGGGATACTTAGAAGACATGTTTTCTTTGGCTCAAGTTGCTGGTGCAGCGACATATGCGTTAAAGTCAACCGGAGGGGTAAGTTGTATATACTTATAAAAACGAAGAAATAAATAAAAAGAAATTGTTCTTTCATAATTGACGTGCACAAGAGCAATACACTACTTTTGAACAGAAAAGACAATGCTAATAAATTTATCATACTTAATTTATAACCTTTTAAAAAAATAAACCGCAAGAGTATTAAAATGGCAAGTAATAGTTATGAATAATGCAAAAAGTATCTGAAATTGTTAATATTATGAAATTTTTAATTTGTAACTTCTTAAAACTGAAATAATTAGATACTGTCAATAAACTGCATTAAAAAACGGAAACTGTACGTACAAAATGTAGTTGTTATTTTCGAAGTACTACAGTAGTAATGATTGATTACTGTCAATACCTTTTAAAGTAATACATTTTTGGTTATTAAGAGCTAATGTTCAGTATAAATTATTATATAAAAACTTACCTTCTAAATACATTGCAATATCAATGCATCTATTTAAGTGAAAAATAAACATTTGTATAGATATTGAGTGCTATAATACCTGCCCAGAAAGTAATAGAAAAAATGTCACCACCGATACCTTTATGGAAGTTAGCAGCAGCTGCAGGACCTTACGTAAAGCTTGCTGCTTTAAGTGGAGCAGCAGCTGTTGGCCTTGGTGCTTATGGCTCTCACAGTAAGAAAAGAATATTGTTCATGTTTTAAATGTCAATAAAGGAAAATACACTAAGATTCGTTTAGAACTTTACAATTTCTACAAGGACTTACAGTTAAATAATTTCTATTTCTTTTGCATGTGCAGGGGAATATCCAGAGGCTGAATCTAGGAGTCTAGATCGAAGACAAGTTTTTGAAACAGCTAACAGATACCATTACATCCACACATTAGCTATGTTAAGTTTACCTTTTTGCAGAGCACCTTATTTGGTATGTTTGATAGCAATGCAATATGCAGCAATATCATTATCACAAATTTATTACCATTATTATTATTATGGCACTCAAAATTCTTATATTAATTTCAGGGTGCAATATTTTTCATGTCAGGCATGATAATGTTTTGTGGATCATGTTATTATTATGCATTTACAGGCGATAGGAATTATAGGAGTATCACACCAGTAGGAGGCGTATGTTTAATAGTAGGATGGTTAAGTATGTGCATATAAATGTTTAAGAAACATGGATAATATGGTATTTATAAAAAAGAGAAACTAACAAAAAAATAAAAAATTATGTATGTAAATGAATATTTCCATTAATGTAGTTTTGAAATAAATTCTTATGCCGTAATAGAGAATATTGTTAATACGATGTATTTCATTTATGATATATACGTCAATCAGAAAAAATATTTTACCAGCAAACACGTTTGTGTTTACATTTATCGAAGGCTGCCAAAGAAACGGAAATCTCATTTGAATAAAACTCATTTATGCTAATGAATCAATATAAATATATCTTTTGTTTATAATATTACCGATAAAGATTTAAATCGTATCTTAAACCATTAGGCATTATACAATGCATCTCTATTTTTCGTATCTTGGATATTTAAAATTGTTTTGTCATCAATGATAGTTGTTTCTCTATATTGTGTATACATTACCAGGTGTAATTCGTCATTATCCATGTTAGAAATGTAATGCAAAAATATAAGTGTAACTTGTTTTTGTGATTATCATGAAATATGTAAAATTACGGAATATAAGAATATTGTGAGTGGCGATCGAACAAATGTTGTAGATGTAATGCTAAAAAGAAAATCATCGCAAGGGATGGTACGGCATAGTTTCGAAGCAACGTTTG